CAGAAATCAAACTCAAAAGTCCATTGATAATACAAATTGGGAGCAGAGCAAACATAGACCTCTAAAACGTCAGAGGTGGGATCAAGTGCCATGGAGGAGTAAGCATCCCCTGTTGGCTGGTCACACCTGCCATGTGCTCCTTGTCGTGATCAGGCAAATGGGAAAATCCTTAGACAATTCAGTGTGTAAATAATGACCTAAAAATTGGTGTGAAAAACATCAGTCAGCATTCAACTTAATGATAGATTGTATTTTATGACAAAGTCAGTGTGTTGACCATAGAACTTGGGAAATGATAACTTTAAATGAGGCTTTTGATATATCTGTTTCATCAACTTTTTTTGTCAATAGCTTGCCTTGTTTTAGAAATTGTTCGTACATAGACATGCTCTTGCATATCGAATCAACTAAACAACTGGGATACATAAACCTCAAATACAGGTGATAAGGGAATATTGCTGCATAAAATAGGGAAGTTGACGATAGAAAAGTTGAAGTCATCACATTTATCATAAAGTTTTGTTGTTAGGTTACCATTCATGTCTTTTACTAGTAATATATCCAAATATGGAACAGATGTGTCAGACTCTGTGGTGTTTTTTATTTCAAGTTCTCTTGGATATATCGAGTCGACATATGAATGGAAGCAACTATTGTTAATTGGTAATATCTCGTTGACATACATATCTAAATGTTGAGTTGAAGGCCACAGCAAGTGTTTTCTTCTTCTCATGTAGAAGTTTTTGAATAAATTTTGCTTCATATGAATACAGATTCTGTGAAATCAACAGCAACATTGAATGATACACATTGAAGGGTATATTATTCATTGTGTTTATGTAACAGTCCAGTATATAACAGTAAATATGTCAGAGATAAACAGGGTATAGTAATTTGTTTTAAAAGTGAACAAAGAAAACTAAACTAAACTATACAATTATTTAAAGGAATTTGAAATCAGAAAATGCAATTTATAGTAAATTTAATATGAATCCAATTTCTTTTCCCTCCCAGATTTTTGTCCTTTCCTAAAGTTATAATTTCCAAAGAGGTATCTGTTACACGTTATAGAGGTCAAAATATTTTGTAGTCAAACTTAGTTGTTGCTCCTTCACTGCATATATATTTCAATATGAATGTCAATTTACATGAAGCCATCATTAATTTTTTTTTAATTGATGTACTCTGACCTTCATATTTCAAGGAAGGTTTTTTTCAGACTTATAAATTCATTGATGTTAATTTCATTATAATGTATACAAGGAACAGCTATATATATTTAATATTTATTGCTATAAAATAATTTTTAATCTAAAAACGTGTCTTTCAGAAATGAAAAATCTTGACTTGAAAAATGATAAGGACAATCTGTATTTCCCTGGGAACAAAAAATGACATTAAAATTTAAAGTACTGAAAAATTAGCGAGTAGGTTTGATTTTGATGGGTCAGTCAGAGTACATCAAACAAAACATTTTTTAACTGTTGACCTGATTTAGTATGATGTTTCGTTCAATAACGGTATAGATTTTTCAGTCTAAACCTGGCATAAGCATTAGATTGTAATTTTTTAGAAAATTCTACTTAACTTACTTTGTAACAATGTTTGACTTATATGTAATTACAAAGGCAGAACATTAATTTTAGCAACAATTAGAGTCAAAGTATAATTTGTAAATTAAAGGTCAATATTTAGTGTTGTAAGGAGATTTTGTTGTTAATGGAAATTATTGATTTAATTTTAAACTTAATCGTTAAAGTGCATCAGTATTTTAAAAGTTTCTGAGCTATATACCTGAATAACAGGTGTACTTTTTGTTTTTAAATTATTTAATCAAAATGAAGTAAAATGACACGTACATTATTTACAAATACATACAGTACTTATGTCGTTATGCTATGATTTGAACATGTACAGTGTAATTGCTGGTGTTCTTAATGGAGATGTTCTTTTTACCATGTACCCCTCCCCTTATTATGCTTTTAAAAAAAAATATAATTAAGAATTATTTTCCAGTTCTTAGTGTACAATGACAGTAAAAGAACTGTTGGTGAATGACTGCTAAATAGCTCTTTTAACACTGTAGCTTATCAGGTGCATACAAGCGGCTAGTTTCTGACAAAAATTGAAATATTTTCATTTCCATACTCTAGCCCTTAATTTTATCACACATAAGTATAATCTTGTGATATTTGTATTATATCAGTTTATGTCACCTTCAATTTTATCACATTATTTGATAATGATGGGTCTGTTTTTCTCTATGCAAATTGGATTAAAAATATACATTTGAACACATGAAGAAGATCAGCAGAGTATAGAGCATAGAAATAGTATTAAATAGTTTTCAGCTCACCTTAGCCAAAGGCTAAAGTGAGCTTTCCTGATCAAAATTTGTCTGATGTTGTTGTGAACTTTTCACAATATCCTTTTCTTCTCAAGAACCACTTGGCCAACTTAAACCAAACTTGGCACAGAGGATCCTTGGGTCATTAGGATTCAAGATTATTCAAATAAAGGACCACACCCTCTTTAAAAGGGAGATAATAAGAATTTGTGAAAATTTGATGGCATCTTTTAAAAAACTTCTTCTCAAGAACTATGGTGCAAAAAAAGATGAAACTTAAAGCTTCATTAGATAGTTTAGAAGCAAATTTGTTCAAATCATGACCCCTGTGGGTAGGGTTGGGCCACAATGGGTGATCAAATTTTATATAGCAATATATAGGAAAGACCTTTAAAATCTTCTTCTCATGACACATCACATATAAATATGGAAGCATCCTCTGGTAGTGTAAATTCAAGTTGTTCAACTCATGACCCCCAAGGAAAGGAAGAGCTGTGCAATAGCGATCAAAGTTTTACATAGGAATATATGGGGGAATTTTTTTTTTACAGGTCTTCTCAAGTATAAGAAAACCATGATAAGCCATAATTATAAATATTTGATTGGTGTTACTATGGTTACTACAAGTAGAATTGTTGTGAAATACATTCAAAACGTCACTACCCCTACAGTTTTGGGAATTCAATAAAAATTGGCACACATGTAGATTAATTAGGCCAGGTAAAATTAATCTTTAGATTCTCATCCCCGCCCGCCCCTCTCAAAGTGCCCCGCTCCGTTGTTTTTTATTTTGATTTTTGGGTGTCAAAAGTATTTTCATGTATTTTTATTCAGCAAGAATTTGGGTCAAAAGTTAAGAGTTATCTTACATCTGTATTAAAAGTCGCGTGGCGCTATTTATAGCAAAAAGCCATGTGAACAATGGAGAAAAATCAGCAATAAAAGCAGTTTAAATACGAAAGGAAAAGATAATTTGTCAGTAAAGAGAAGACAGAGAAGCAAAAATAACATAAAGACATCTAGATACTATCACTGGCATGAGCAAGTTTTTAAAGAGATTTCAACCAAGTAAAAACAGAAGAAGAAAATGACACCAGGACAAGTTTTAACGATCTCCTGTTGTACTTGTATGTGATTTTGCATTTAAAAAAAAGACATCGTCGGCAGACTTTAGAGAATAATAGTGCAAAGGAAATGTTAAATCTTAAAAATGTTCAGGCCTAGGCTTTCAGTTGAATATTTTACAGATTTTGCAAATATGACATATGATTTTGTTTGGCGTGTGCCGTATCTGTTTACTTGATAATTTGTTAATAGAACTATAAATATTTTAATTTTTTATAACAAGAATCTTCTGTAGACATTTAAAGGATATGAAAACAATAAAATCTATTCATATTGGCATTAACATAATGTAAAGATTTTGTGTACGAAGAGTGTTTTGTTGATACTTTCAATTACAAAAAATAAAAAATAAAATCCGCCCACCCGCCCCAATTTTTTAAGAAATTAGGATGAGAATCTAAATTTTAAATTTATGTGGCCTTACACTGAGATACATAATTCTATTTATCAGTTTTTGATTTTGGTGAAATGTTGCCTTGGTTACTAAAAAAAAGAAATTTCTGTGAAATACTTTTAAAATGCTACAACCCCCACAGTTTGGTTTGATTTTTATATAACTTGGCATGCAAATATATTACACTGAGATACATATTTGTCTTTATCAGTTTTTGATATTGATGAATGATGTTGCCATAGTTGCTAAAAATAGAAATTTCTGTAAAATTCTTTCAAAAGGCTACTCTTCCTACAGTTTTAGTCTGATTGCAATAAATCTTGCCACAGAAAGAGACTAAACCAAGGATCATTTATATTTTATTTTTTGCTAATGCAAAGCTTCAAGTCCTACTGCTACTTTTCTCTTCCTTTGTTATAGGTACAAACCAGTAGAGCTAGAGTCTCATCAGAGACTTCTGGTTATGTATTTGTCATATAATCAAGTCTTGTCTGAAAAGTTGCTCAGAATAAATTTTTTGCAAGCTTGGTTTTCCTTAGTATGTTTCCACATGTAGTAAACAATGCTTGAAAAAAATCCTAGTTTTTAAAGAGCATACTTAGTATCAGTCCTTCATCCTTATCAGAAGACCACATTTCTGCTTTAACATTTTTAATTGTCAAAATTTTTCCTCTTTAGTACATGGTACAGTAAAACTCAGTTATAAGGACATTTTAGTTCCTTATAGCTAAAATTCTTTATATCCTTATATAAGGTGATAAAAAATCCTTATAACTAGGATATCATTATATTCGAATTCTTTATAACTGAGTTTGACTGTATATTAGAGACAATGCCATATAAATGTGGTTCAGGATTTAAATTTCTTTGTCTCACAAGCTTTCATTCCATTATTTATTCATGATCTAGATCTTTGATGCTGATCAGTTCTCTGTTACAGTTGGGCTGATCGCAGTAGTAACATAAAACATGTATACATGTATTTGTTGATCTTGTGTTGAAGACAGTAGTTAAATCCTGCATTTTTGATGATCTGTACTGTACGGACTTGGATGTTCCAAAATGTAACTCCCACTGTATCCTTTTCACCTGTATACTGATGTTGTGGGATTGATTTTTACCTGTATTTCCAGATACATGTATGTATCAGTAATTTCCTCTGATGCTATATCCGATCAACAACTGGAGCTGCAGTGATAGAACAGTGGATCAGTGTTCATGAAAACTTGAAAAGGTAAGATACCATACCTGTATAAATTACAAAAAAGTGTACAGAAAACATTGACAAGTATGTATATATACCAGAAAGTTTGATGAATGAAAAAGAAGGAAGTACTTGAAATGTTTGACATATAAAACCACAAACACCACTTAGGATTCAAAGGTAAGTGAAAAATGAATGCAATTGTACAGATCAGTGTAGTTATAGTGTTTCACTTCATCTGTCTTTATGTGTATTTGGATGTAATATGTCTATATTTATTTTATAAATTCTTTTTATAATTTACTGTTTTGAATATGTTTAAATACAGTATCTTACATATAAGTTCCACTTATAAAAAGTTTTTTGTTTACAAGCATTTGGTAGAAGGAATACTGTAGGGTTATTGAACTTATATTGGTGAATATTGGCAAGAGTTGGCAGTACAAATATGCATGAGCTTGTGAGTGCCAGTATTCACTAAGATAAGTTCAACTGCTGCTTTATTAAACAGCTAAATCATTTTCCCATTAATTTATAATAATTAAATTGAATAACTCAACATTAATGAAAATTTTCCAGTATCAGTATTTAAACTAGATGCTGTCATAAGACAGTAATACCTGCACTAAGGTGTTTGCCTCTAAATACACACTCCTTCATATTTGGGTAACCAATTAAAAAGCCACAATTCTATAATTTATACGGTAAATATACAAGTCAAATCGAGCATAAAATGCTCAGGTGAACATGTGGCCCAAGGGCCTCTTATGTAAGTATTTCATATACTAAATATATTACCAGTTTGAAATTACAGAATTCAATTGATGATGTAAATAATTTTTATTTTAAAAAGGGGGGGGATGTAAATTTTGGCCCGTAATTGGAACTTTTTAAATTTATTTTCAAAATAACATATGATTATTTTTAGTGCATAACATTTTTGATGAACTTAAAAAAATTAAGATGCCAATGAATTGATCAAATTGTGCAAACTTTTATCAGTATTTGAGTTGGCAAAAATCCTCTACAAAACCCAAACCCAGTCGATTTTGTCATCCCCTCCAATTTGCCTGTTTTGGGGGAAAAAAAATTGCACAAGATGTACAGAAATATTCTTTGTGATTATAAAATTTGTAAACATATTATGTTACACCTTTTTGAAAATTTCTAGACCCGCACCTCACATTGGACTTGTGTCACCCTACGAGTACTAGTTTTACCATTATCATTATTGGATTGCACATGGTGTACACATCATCATATCAGTAGGAATTAATTCATAGTGTGTTTTAATTGGATTATATTTAATGAAGTTGACAGAACCTATGACAAGTGGCAAGTACAAGTTTAGGTATAGAATGGGGTAAAATTATCTGAAATGCAAATGATTAGGTTATAGTTTAAAAAGGGTCGAAGATCAATGGATGCCACATGCAAGTTATACATTGAAGCAAGTTCCTGGGGGTCATTTCCATTCCCTGGATATGGAAACAATCAATTTGCTTTAAATGAAATCAGAAACCCCAAAGCTGTCTTTGTATTATGACAAATTAAATGGTATAAGGGGACATTTGTTCTTTCAAAACTCTACTCCTTCTACAGCTTTGACCCTGGATTTCATTAATACTTTGAGAAAGAGTAGACTTTACTAAGATACATAATTCTGTTTATCATTTTTGGATTTCCTTGAACACTGTTGCCATAGATAGTAAAAAAAAAGATATTTTTGTGAAATTCATTCAAACTGCTACTCCTCTTAGAGTTTTGGTTTGATTTTAATAACTTTGTGCACAATCAGCCTTTAATAATGTACATAATTCAATGTTTATCAGTATCTGATTTCCATGAATGATGTTGCCATGGTTACAAAAAGTAGATTAAAAATGCAGAAAAAATATCATTTTTTGACACCTATTTGCCCCCAAGATAAAAATGAAAATTCCAAAAACCTTATTGCACATCTACAGGACACCATCAATCATCTTCCAAAAGATGATTAGGGTACTGCATAAAATGTAAGAAAAGTTCTGGGAACCAGGGTCTTTTTTTTGTACTAAAAAAACATCATTTTTCAACCCCCATTTGACCCCCAGAGTGAAAATGAATCTACAGGACACCACCAATCATCTTCCAAAAGATGAATAGGCTACTGCGTAAAATGTAAGAGGGTTTCTGGGAGCCAGGTCATAGTAAAAAAAAAAAATCATTTTTCGTCTCCCAGGGTGAAAATGAAAATTCTGAAACCTTATTGCACATCTACAGGACACCACCAATCATCTTTCAAAAGATGATTAGGCTACTGTGTAAAATGTAAGAGGAGTTCTGGAAACCAGGTTTTTGTGGAAAAAACATCATTTTTTGGGGGTCCCGTTTTGCCCCTGGGGTAATATTTAAGATTCCAAAACATCATTGCACATCTACAGGACACCATCTATCATATTCCAAAAGATAAATTTGTCACTGCTTAAATAAAAGAGGAGTTTGAGGAAGAATAAAGTGTGACAGATGGATGGACGGACGGAGCAGGGTAACAACGGTATACCCGAATTTTCTTTAGAAAGTGTGGGTATAATTAAAATTGCAATATCAGAATCTGTCCTGGATGTGTTCAATTTCTCCATCATCATTCCATTATCTCTACCAAGCATTATGATTTGCTTATTGAGGTTTTTATTTAGGCTTATAGGTACTAAATTATTAATTAATAAATTCCATTTGTGTGAAAATAGGCACATCTTACCTAGCTGCCACTACCCATCATAAGTATTGCCATTGAGTGGATGACCAGGCTCCAAGACCATAAACTGAGAACAGACTTAAGTCAAAATTTTAAATCAATATAATTTTTTAAATGATTTTGATAATGAAATAAATTTTTGTCCACGTGTATGGATTTTTGTAATAAACACACCAGCAAAGTTTCATGCACATAAATTAATTAAAACTCAAGATATTTAAAATCAAAATTTTGACTTAAGTCTGTTCTCAGTTTATGGTCTTGAGGCCAGATGACATTTTTTGGCTTACAATGTGTCGTTCGATATTGAACACTCACATTCGGAATGTTAAAAGACATATTCATATACATATTGCAAACTTAGCGTTCAATAAAACACCAAAATATTGAATGGTAAAATTCTCAAGATTTTAAGTATTTTTTTTTATTATTATTATTATAGACCAATTATAAGCTATATGTGTATAATACAAGGGAATGTTGGCTTTAAAACATTTTTACCAGGTTACCTCTATATCCTCTTACTAAGAGCTGTAAACAAGAATAATTTATATATTCACCCAGAAAATTTAATCAAGATATGTGACTTTCTGTAAAAAATATATGAGATCAGTCTACAGAATTTTGGGACAACCCTCTTATGTTTATTTGCTTATGTAATATATGTTTTTTTTTTTTAAAAATGTATGTTTGATGATGAAAACTATTCTGTGAATTTACTTGAAATGTCCAAAAATGTCTGTGATTTGTTGATAAACATAATGGTTTCGCATTTTCTGTAATTTGGAATAAAATGACACAGCACTTGCACTTTCTGTTCAAGTCGGAGCATATTTTATCCATAAATAAAAATATACAAATTAGAGTGCATTTCTTAATTTAATGGTCCATGGGAATTCACTTGATAAGCTTATATTATCCTTTGGAGATAAATGACACAGCACTTGCATTTTATGTACAAGTCAGAGCATATTTTATCCACAAAGAAATATATACAAATTAAAGTGCATTTCTTAATTTAATGGTCCATGCAAAAAGATTTCTATCTTTAAAATTGGGGTCTCTTTTTCTCTCTCAATTTTACAAAAAATTTATACTTTAATCAAAATTTTGACTGTAGATGCTGCAGAAATAGAGTTTGAAGAGTGAAAGCAATGGTATCTCCATGGCGATTACGTGTAATTCCCAACAGTCGACAGCTCTTAGTTCTGGCATGCCTTCTCTTCCTATTCTGGTGTATGACACTTTATCGGGTTTCCAATATTAATCCTGCAAGGCAGAAGGAAAGTGAAGTACTTAAGGTTAGTATCATTTACTTACATAATCAAGAGATGAAAATTCTTGCCATATTAGATATCAATAACTGTAAAATGTTGAAGGCAAATCAGTTAAAGTGAATCAATAGACCATTTTCAAATTATTTCCTCTCAAGGAATTATTTAAACAATAAAATGCTTTGGTTGTTAGTATGGGAATTAATGTTGCAGAAAAAATACAATTACAGTCAAACCTCATTATCTCGAACTCGATGGGACCAAGAAAAAACTTTGAGATATCCGAGAGTTTCAGATATCGAGGGTAAAATACTTAAAGAAATATGCGGTTAGGACTTCCCAATCACTTCGACATATCCATGGTATTCGAGATATCCGTGTTTGACATACCGAAGTTCAACTGTATGTAATTTTTTTCTGCAATAGCTGCGACGTTAATTCTTGTACTAACAAACAAAGAAAGACATTTTATTGTTGATATTTACATCTGTACAAATAATCATCTAAAGTAGGATTCAGCAGATTAAAAATTGTATTATTGACATGTACGTCATTGTATGTTTCATTGAGTACAGCCACTACTCAAGAAATCATTACAGGTGAAATGTTTAGTGTTGTTTATTGACTGATAAACGGCAATGGTTTTCTTAACAAATAAAGGAGAAAATATTCAGTGGATGACTGGATGTAAATAAAGTAAGAGTAATGCAATAGCTTAGACCTTAAAAAGATGGGTAACTTTCTATATACAGTAAAACTTGGTTATAACGAAGTCACTGGGACCTGTGAAATCACATTATTATATCCATAATCTGTTATATCTGTATAAGGAATTCGTAAAATTTATATATAGAGGATATTCAATGTTTTGTAGATGAATATGGAATTTATTTTACGAGTGGGACAGGATTTTGATATTTTCATGAGTGTGAAGCACGAGTGAAAATATAAAAAAATCTTGTCTCATGAGTGAAATAAATTCCATATTCATCTTCAAAACATTGAATTTTCTGTTAATTACATTTTCTTATATTTTCCCTTTGGCTAGAGCTGTATTTTTGTTGCACAGTGTTATAGGCTGTGACGTCGTAGTTTGAGAAGTCATAGCTAAGTGAGATTGAAAAACGTTGAAAACATGGATTTTTAATGACATATTTGGAAAACTTAGCATATACTTAGTCTCTGTCAGGATGGCTCATTAACTCTATCTTTTATATATATCTATTTTATATATATATATATATACTTCAAGCACCATTTAGGCCCCTTAGCTGGTTGCGTTTCATTGACGATATAGAGATGAAGTGGGTGGGATGTTGCGAGAGCCTCGAGGCATTCATTTCGCTTGCCAACACCTTTCATCAGTCTATCGAATTTACAGTAGACGTATCTAATTCGAAAAACATATTCCTAGATACTACATCTACCCTGACTGATGGTGAAATCGAGTTCAGTCTCCACACAAAACTCACTGATTCCCATCTGTATCTTATGCCAACTAGCTGTCATCCCCCACACACATTTAAGGGTGTGCCTAAGGGTCTAGCCACCAGAATTCGGCGCATCTGTTCATCCCTTGCCTTATATCAGGAACAAAGCGGTCTCCTCAAGTCCCACTTATGCAAGAGAGGCTACAATGCCCGCACCGTACAAACTGCTATTGATGAGATGGCGGGACATGACAGGCAAAACCTATTACGCTACAAGGAAAAAGACAATAGCGACAGGGTTCCTCTGGTAACCACATACCATCCCGTCCTTAAGAACCTCAGCGGTATCCTTCAAAAGAACCTGCCAATTCTCCATTCAAATAAACGAATGGCAGAGGTCTTTAAGGAGCCCCCATTGGCTGCATACAGACGCCCGAGGAACCTAAAGGACATGGTAGTAAGAACCAGATTGGACAATCCATTACCTAACGGGGGCTTTAAAACTTGCTCTGACAGAAGATGTCTTCTGTAAGCACAGCTCTGACACAGACAGCTTTAACAGCCCCGTTACAGGCTGCAGCTACAAAATACTAGGGAATTTGTCCTGTCAAACAGACAACTGCATTTATCTCATCAGTTGCAAAGTTTGCTCCAAACAGTATGTTGGTGAAACAGGAGATCTCCGCAGGAGAGTCAATAATCACCGTTCTACCATTAGGACCAAAAAACTCAATGAACCCGTTGGGGAACATTTCAACCTTGAAGGTCACAAATGGGAGGACATGACAGTGGTGGTTATTGACCATAATCCAAGATGGACAGACGCTCAGAGAAAAGGCAAGGAAAAGTTCTGGATGCACAGGCTGAAGTCATTCTGCCCTAATGGTATTAACAAACTGAATGACTTCACCGGGATGAACGTGAACTAGACCCAATCCCCGATTGTAACAAACAAGTTCATTCTCTCTATATAGTGAAAACTTTACCATTAATTCGCATTAGCAATTCTGGAAAAACCTACCCAAATATTTACAGCTTACATTTTTGTTTATTTCTTTTATCAGATTTCCAAATTTATAATATATCCAAATTCATATTTTAAAATTGCCCTTCCATATTATCTTTAATTTCTTTTTATCATGTATAGTTTCGCTATTTTGAGAGAATAAGACAATGTACGATTATCTGCTTGGTCGTAATTAATTAGCGATAATTAATTCATTCAATTATGTAAATCGCACTTCACCAGAGTACACCCGATAGACTGGGCGCAATTCATAGCGCTCCGGATTTCTTTGTTCACAACTGTTTATAAACTTCAAATTAAACATGCAATACTGTAAATATTTAGTGTTTGGTAGTTTAGTAGTAGTTCTAGTTGATTTTGTTTCTCTATTTCCTTTGTTTTTATGACTTCTTAACTTTTTTCTTTGTCCTGAGGAAGGGACAGGTCGTCCCGAAAATTTGACAATTATTATTGTTCATGTCGTTGGTCATTTTTAGTGCTTTGTATAAAGTTCCATCCATGACCTTGTATCTACTTAGTAGATCCGACACTTAGGATATACAGTGTTGTTGGTTTTTAGTGCTTTATATATATATATATATATATATATATATATATATATATATACACTACAGTCAACGCGGTTTCCGTATTTACCGCGAGTCCTCGCGGTGTGAAATTGATCGCGGTTTAACACAGGTAACTCAGGTAAAACCGCGTGTTCTTGCGGTACGGGTCCTCAACTAATCCACACCATCGGGGTTTGTGTTATCCGTCTCAGGTAAAAAATTATTCTCTTCATGAACGCGAGTTACCTCCCCCGACGGAAAAAAAACACAACAGAACAAGAATGAATAAGAAGTAAAAAAAAAATTAAAAGGGATAAAACCAGCCTTAGCAGTTATTTAGGTCTCCCTTTTTATATTTGATTAATTTATCTTTTTTACTTATTTCACACCTCTTTCAAAAATAAAAAAAAAAAAAGGAAAGAAAAGGAAAGAAAGAATGCATGATATGGAGACAACTAGATATTTAATTATATATTGTGTGTTCATTTATTGTTCTTAACTTATTCTTAAATATACATATGCATTAATTTTGTAGGTCACAGTTATTGATCCGATAACTCAATGATTTAATTGTCAATTGAAAACAACTTTTCCGTCATTTAACCATTTTAAATAAGTAAAATAGTCGCAATACTAGTATTTAAAAAAAAAAAAAAGGCGCTCGGAATAAAATCTTCAAAGAAATAGATATTTATATATATATACTGAAACAAATGACCAAAAATTTTTTTATAAAATAACTCTTATTAGCAGTGAGAAATAGAAGAATAATGGCATTGATTTTGCCCTTTAAATATCCACATTGATAAATATGCCATGTGGATCTGCAATAGAATTTTGTAAATGTTTGCCAAACACATAAATAACTGAAATTATCGATGATTTATTGAGTAACGAAACCCCATGTACAATGTGCAGCACTATAATCTTTTATAAATATTTGATAATATATTTTAAATAAAAGCAAATGCGTTGTTTCTCCGACTTTTATGGAATTAGATATTTAATGAACAATATGGAAAAGAACTAAACAAAATTTGCACATTAATTGGGCTATAATAGGACAAAGATCTTACATAAGAATATTGTTGAAATTTTTAAAAAAATTTATCTTGTCAAAAACAGAATGTCTATACTTATTGTAGTCAGATTGATACACATGTATGCAAGGATCCTCATAAACTGGTAGCCCAGAGTCAGAGATTCCTAAAAATCATGGCCTTCCTGGGCCAAAATAGAGGCCAAAGTTTTAAGTATTGGATATATGCTGAATACAGAAAACTATTCTTTATGAAAAAAAACAAAAAAACCCAGACAGTTTGAGGCCCATTAGGGCCAAAAACTTTCTGATATTTTTTCTTATAGAATTCTTGATTTACCCGAGACAGCCTGATCTATAATAACAATTTAGACAAAAGAGTTAATGACCATTGAAGCAATTCTTTCAAGAATACTGTCTTAGGGAAGCTATTTGATGTAATTTGATCAGTTGTAATACAGGGAGGCAAGGGGGGGGGGGGGGGTTGAGCTTAAAACAGTGCATTGGACTAAGATGCAGACATTCTAGTGAATAATATTTGGGAATGGAAAAGATAAATGCAGATGTGAACTTCTGCTTTGAACTAAACAAAGATGTAAATTTTGTAAAGTACCACAGGTATATATACCATAACTCTTCATTTCTTCTATGTTTAAAATGAAAGATTTACCAGCCAGTTCTGCTTCTAGTGGGAACGTACCCCCAGTTATGAATATCCAAGCCAGTTTAAAGGAAATTCTTTAATATTGTGATCAACACTTTTTAAAAACATTGCTTAAAGTTAAATACCTTTATGACAAGTTCAAGGGATCTTATGTTTTAATCCTGGTCTTCATTTAATGTGAAAGACATTGGACTTGTGGACCTGACTATTGTACAGTGCCTCATGCAGGTCTGATGGATCTTTTTTTTTTTTTTTTACACCGGACCAGAATGTCTGATATGTCTTAGTGTCTAGTTTTGAGTTTTACTATTTTGACATAGATTTATAAAACGTTTGTTTCCAGAAAAAAAATTGCACAAATCCAAGTATGTAAATGAGTATTATTAAAACTGCATGGACCAAAAGATTTCCTTTAAGTTCTGCATTTTCACTTGTTTCATTTTCTTACATTATAAGGTTTTTCAGTCTGACAAAATTTAGTTTGGTCCTGTACACAGGATTTAATGTCCTATGTGACCCAAAAACTTTTGCATAGACTTTGGCATTTTTATCATATTTTCCCCCTTTCCTTTATAGTATATTCGGTTAAATTTGAAGTTTAGAAGTTTTTTTCATTCTCCAATTCTGTATGATTTATACATATTATTCTGCTTCAAAATAATTACTGTAAAGAAGATCAGATTTTGCTCCATGCTAAACAATCAAGCTTTTTATTTCCGAATCCTTTGTTCAGTAACAGTCCACTTTGGAAGGACATCAGTACTGAGACTAGTATTATAATTAATACCAAACAACTCACTAACATCTAACTGCCAAAGGTAAATTTTAGACTGCAAGAGCAAAGGATTGACATCACAGCGATGTTTAAAATAGGAATATGCATTAGCATATTAACGGGAAAAAAAATCTTTAAAGATCTCATCAGGAAAAGCAGGTCAATAGCCAAATTAATATGTAATCATACCCAATTTAGTGTATTTATATATATCATGACCCTTAGTTCTATAATGGGAACACAATAAGGCATCAAGGTTTCACATAGAAATACACAGTTATCCACAAGACTGCATTTTATAAATCTAACATCATGCATCAAACTTATGTAATTTGAACATGTTGAAATCCTGGACTTTAAGTGTAATAAATGCCCACAATAACGAGTTTTGTTTTCCTTTGTGGAAGAGAAATTTGACTCAGGTGAGCATTATGACCCATTGACCTCTTGTTATGATCTTAAAGCAATAATGCAGACTCCTCAGGTGTCTAAATCATCATATTATACTTTCATGTAAATTAGTTGAATCTGATTTGTCGAGAAACATTTGTTAAAAAACATTATTACCTGCTGAATAATAAAGCCACGCCCTCCAGCGTAGCAACAGTTAACATTGCTTGACGACGGGTGTTTTTCAAAAAAATATTGACTGCGCAGAATTCATGCGCACAAGGTTCACTGTAATATGTATTTGTATGAAACATTCAGTATAATATAATAAATACTGCATGTAGTTTAGTGTAACATTGAAAATTTTCACCCCAAGAAAACCATTGTCAACCTCGGCGCGTATATAATATTGACCTCAAATCCAATCAAGCAATAATTGTATAGTATTACCTCCAAAATTTCAATCATACTCTATGTATTTTGCCTTGCAGAATGAAATCATCAGTCTGAGTGAAAAATATGTCCGAGCACTCTCGCGGGAAAATGCTGACATTGTAGATGGACCATATGCTGGAAGATTTACTGCTTATGGTAATTACATACAATGACACAATAGTTTGGCCTATACGAGGGGTTATCAAAACGTTCGTGGACTGAGTCGACAAAATTAGTACTATGTAGTCTGTGCTTTCAAAATTTATAAGGAACATAAAACAACAAAAAATAAAGAAATTTTGAAAATTTTAGCTTGATACGTTCATTATTTGCCAAATTATTATAAAATGAAAATGACATTATATGATCACCTGGCGCTGTCTCCGTTTAGTTTCATGACGTCCGACAACGTCGTTGTTATTCAATGTCCGATTCTTCTACCTCATACACTTACCTTGATGAGATTCCCTGGAGTTGAGTAAGGACTTAAACCCTCCTGTTTATGTGACTTTACAATGTCATGAACAGCTGCTTTCATAGCATATAATATTGCAAATGGATTTATACATAAGGAGAGATCCTCACTTGATTATGCCAGCATATTTTGCTTTTTGAAGTTCATAATTTATCACACATGATCAACTTCATTTTTTGACGTGATTGACTTTTCACACAGTGACTACAAATTGATATTAACTGTGCATCCCTTTTCTCGCTGAATTGGCATTAAAAAAACATCAAGTACTCTAGATGCATTTTATTTCTCTGTAGCCAGTTTAAAGATTTCATAGGCCTATACCAGTTTTTTTAGGGACAAAACTTTGTAGAATGTTGGAAAAAGAAACCCCTTTCCCTTTTTGACGTCATTTTCAAGCCCTTAATTGTTTGGACACTCCAAACAAAATTTACGATAAAATTTCATAGAACTTGCAGAATGAGGTAAAAAATCATATTTTACGGAACAATAGTGTCCCATCACACACTTGAATTAACAGGATTTTTGGATGTCAAATGTTCATAACAAAATAGTTTTTCTCAGTAATACTCAGGTTGAAAAAACGTCATATTCAAGGTTGCGCCGCCTGGACATACCATTGCTTACAAAAACATTACTAATTTATTAAAAAATAAAATTTTTGATTTATGGTTTATTCTTTAGATAGAAAAGATGATGCTAACTAAATATTTTAAAATTCATTAATGTACCTAAAGTGGTTTTAATTTTATGGCGCTAGTCCACGAACTTTTTGATACCCCCTCGTAGTTAAATATTAATCTGAAAATAAGATATCTAAGTGTTAAACTTTCAAACAATGGAAAGGTTGACGTTTACTATTTTAACTTCAGTTGCAAATGCAGTGCGATTATCAACTCTTTAAATTGCTGTTTTTCTCTTAAATTTAGATACAGTAATTTTTGCGTAAACATTCCCTGTATGATTACATGGAACTTTTCTTATTAGGAACTAAATATGTGTGTCCTCTGGAATTCCTTATGAGCATACTTTATTCCACAAAGTCATAAGTTGATTTAACTAAAATAGGTACCTGGGGAATGTACCAGGATACAATTTATTTCTGGTCAGTAAATTTGAAGCTACATGCAAGAGAAAAACAACTTGTGTTTGGATTTTACAGATCTCAAGAAAACAATGGCTGTATTATTAGAAAACATGCTTGAACGTCTTGGTCGGTTAGAGGTTCAAGTCCATCATGTGATGAATATATCCAACTCCTCCCTGGTCAATCTTACCCGCCCCCTGATGGCTGACCAGAGTGAGGACTCCCTCCATGCAGAAGGTACAGACTCAGAGATATACATCTATACATGGAAGCAAAAAAAAAATATGTATACATATATTGAAACAAAGTATAAATCACATATGTGTCTTCCCAAAATCGGATCTCATGCATGAAATTAAAAAAAATAATTACTTGTAATCTTGTTTGCAATCTGTTTCTCATGATTTTTTTAATGAAAAAGATGTATGTATGATCAGAGGCACCTGAAGTGTGGATTAACCCCCCCCCCCTTTTTTAGTGAAAAAAAATAGTAAGATCCTATAAATTCTCAAAAATATTTAATTTTCTCCATTGACAGGGATAAAGGAGGTTATGGTTCTCTCTGATCTGTTTTGCTTTATCCGACTAAATTCAAATTATACTTTCAACCAATCAGGTAAACTAAAACAAAGTGATAACACTAAAACCTCCTTTATCACTGTCAATGGAGAAAAATTTAAGTATCCAATTAATAAATCATCCAAATATGGCATATAAAACAAAAAGGGTGGGGTTTAAGTTGAAGAGACTAGTAAAAGAACATCTCCCTGACAGAGTGCTTGCAAAAATATGATGAGCAACACTATTATTGCCTTGGAAATATGTCTTTAAGCAGGGAACCCCTCCTTTGTTTATTTATGAATTTTGTTTCTTACCTTGTTTATTTTTATAATAGTGTACATGGCCAATCTCTAAACATAAGAAAAAGTACAATCTGTTTGCATAGAATGAGATATGGATGTGATTGACAGGGAAATCTCAAATTTTTGAGAAAATAATATACATATTCTGTGATATGTTTGATATACACTTAATAACAGTTGGTAACAGGATATGATTTTGTTACTACAGATATTTGCTAAAAGGATTTCACTATAGACGTGTATCACTGTATCATTTATAATTATCTTTTTCTCAGGAAAATGTAACATACAGTCAAACCTTATTATCTCAAACTCAGTAGGACCAAGAAAAAACTTTAAGATTTCAGAAAGATTCAACATATCAAGAGTAAAATTCTTATAGAATTCTTGATTGGGACTTCATAACATATCCATGGTATTCGAGATATTGGTGTTTGAGATACCGAAGTTTAACTGTATTTTAATTCTTATCAGTTTTCTTGATTTTTAAAGTCAAATATAATAAGTATTCTTTGTAAAAGAAAAAAAAACATAAAAAGTACTTTTCAAATTAAAATGTTTAAAAGAAATACCAACTGCATGTATAATAATTCATTTAATTGGCTTGCAACCTAGTGAAAGAAAAAAAAATGGCATGAGTAAAGCTGAAAAGGATATATGCATGTGGTATCATGAGATGCATGACTTGGCATATATTACCTTCTCATCTATTATATTCTGAATTTAACATGTTGAAGTCAGTTGTTTTGATTTATTTATGAAAAACTTGCTATTCTGATGATGTTTCCAGCTACGATGCTGAATTGTCTTTTTATTGTTATATAAGTAAACTATTCACTTGTTTACTTATGTTATTAATTTTAGTTCCCATTATCTTATCCATTGTGGCTTTTGTTTGGTATATATATAATGTATGTGGTTTGAATAATGCTGGTGGGCACCAAATTTCACAGTATTGGGAAGAAATATTATTTTGTTCACTTGATTTTTAAAATAATAGAAAGCTACCCTATACGGTATAATCTGTAGTTTATTGATCACCTAATTTTATTGTGTACGTGGCTTAACCACAAAAAGAATGAAAACTGGTGTTCAATGAAAAAGTTAGGATCAATGTACAGCATTTAGTAATTTTACTTCTGATCTGTGTTTTTAACAAAAGATATACTGAAAATAATTTCTAGTGCCCAGGCCTCCAGCCTTACAAACAAAAACCAGAATTCTCAAAATAAGTCCTCTTGTGAGAGAGAGTGCCATAAAACATCAAAACAGCAGGGAACAACTTGGTATGGTGTGCTAGCTGTAGTGATTTTTCTCCAGAACTGACATTGTAGTCACTTTAGCAGACAAAACACACACTTTTGATTTGAATTTTAAAAAAATATATATATATTTTTTTTAATTTAGGCACTCAAAAAAACTGATGTTGTAAAATACATACACTAGCTGCCTTCATCTTGTTAAGTTTTTGTTACAACTACACAACAAAGTCAGCTAGTTCTGCATGGATTCTTTGATTTTTAGGTCTTTTGTTACAACTGCAAGGAGAAAAACACAAAGTTTTTTTTTTCTAAAATGTATGTGTGATTTGTTTTCCTTTTAGAATTATAAATTAAGCCAATATTGATGTTAAAATTATTTTAAGAAATTGTGAAAAATCTTTTTTTCTTTCTCATCTACTAGTACAAGTGATGATTTTTATTTTATTCCCATTTTCTTTGGCCTAGGACCCAGTTCAGAATTTATGACCAAAACCCTGAAAATTAGCAAAAAGTCTGTAATGTCCTAGATATGTAGGTCATGAGATACAAGTTTGAGAGTAACATCACACATATATATGAAAAAAACAATTCAAAACTTGTGGATGGAAATGCTATAATCCCTCATGTGCCAATCTGCTGTGAGCCTTAACCAGTAGATCTTCAAAGACCTGGCTGGATTATATAATTTACAATATATAGTTTAATATGTTTTAAAAACATACATGTATAGAATGGAAAACTGTTTCTTTTGTAAGCATCGATCTCAAGCCCTAGTCTGACAAAATTAGATCTCTGATTTTTTCTGATAGTCGTTGCTATACTTTGTAACAGAATTTTGGAGTAGCTAGACCAAAGATCAGATTGCTCGAGCATATTAGTATATCATTTAAATTGATAGTCTTATAAAGGTCTAAAGAAGATTTATATGGGATGTTTTTAACAGTCTGTGAAAATTCCTCATTGATTTCTTTTTTAAGTGAGTTGATAATAAATATACACTATAATTTTGATTTCATGGCCTGGCCTTTATCAGATGAATCAAATGATAGTAAGTCGGACATTAAATTTGTTGAGGAAGTGAAGCGTAATCTTTTTATTAATCTTTTTATAACCAGTAGTTGCTTGTATTTTCAGCATGGACAATTTTGATTGTGTTTCACTAATAGGATGGTAATTAAGGTGGTTAATAAAATTTATGATTGTGACTATACTAACATAAGATTATTGGAAGATTAATAACACATTTACTAATAAGCACATATCAGTCTATAATGTTGACTATATATACTGTCTATTAAAACTAGTGATAACAGTCAAAGTAATCATCAATATCTCATTTTATTTGTATATTTAAAAATTGATTTTTTTCATAATATTTATACATTTATTTCATTGGGGGGGGGGGGGGGGATAAAGTGCAAAAAAAGGAAGAAGTTGGAGAATAACTAGTATTAACTTGAATATTACTTGTAATTTCTGGTATTAAGTTGAATATTATATGTAATTGTTTTGGTAGAACTCAGTAGAGCATATTTTACTTTGTTATTAGCTTGAAACCCTAATTATATTTATATAAGATTGATTTTATATTAAGTATACATTAAATGTCAGGAGTGCTCTCACCTGGTAGAATATAATTTCGTTATCACCTCTTTACTTTGATTTTTACGCCAGTAGTATATTATTATTCTATTTACCATCTCTACTATTGTGTGAATTTGGATGCTGGCACTGGATGGATCACATTTGTAGACTTGGTTTTCTCACCATTTTGTGTTTTAAAACTGTATATTCAACTCTTTTCCTCTGAATTCTCTGTGTTTTATTTCATTTTAACTAACAAAATCACAGATAATGACATCAATCTCTATGACAGATGATAATCACCCCATTTCGTCTCTGAATTTTTTTCATTCAAATCAACAATGATTTGTCTCAAAGTTTGACCATGTAGTATATAATAAAGTTGCTTAAACTTCATAATTATATCATCAACTTAAATTGTCACTATTAAAAAAAGAAATTTCAGTATTGATTGAGCAAGATTCTTTTCCCTTCAGTGATTTTTTGTTTATTTAAAACTTTTAAAAGATTTAGATATAACCCAGTAGAAAAAGAAGATATTAAAATTAATACTTGTAGTGATTTTAGTTTTGCATGATTTTCATTTTAAATCGTTTTTTCCAGTATAAATGTTGTAATTATAAGGTGACCTTATGTGTACATAACTTTCGATTTCCCATTTATATAAAATTATAAAATAATCTTCATTTGCTTGATTACAGACTTAATTCTTGGAAGGACAGAGTCTTGTACCCTTTCTGAACAGGACAAACAAGTATACACAAAATGTGAAGGAAAATTAGAGGTAAGGCTTACAGCTGAAGGAAGAACTATAGAAGAACTATAGAATCCATCATTTTCTTGGGGTTAAACTTTCGTGGTTTGAAGAAAAGTTATTTCTTCAAGGGGATTTAATTTCATGGTTGAAGAAGTTTCAGGTTATTATAGATCTGAAATATTACATTTTATGGAGGACATGAGTTTGTAGGTCTCTTCAAATCGCAAAAGAAATGAAACACTAAAGTTAAAACCCCACAAAAATTAGTTGATTTCACAGTATTAAGGAAAAAGTAATGCATGCATTATATTTTTGCTAATGATATCGTTTATTGCTTGATTGTAAAATGTTCATTTTTCACTGCATGTGTATAAATACTTCAATATAGTAAAAAAAAATGAATAAAAATATGAAAAAATAAAATCCATATTCTACATGAAGTAGAAATGTAGTTTGACTTGAACATTACTAGGATGACTCGATCCATAATATACATGTACAACAAACTTAAAAGGAATGTATAAATTATTTGTATGAGAATTTTTTTCTTACCAGTGGATGAGACAGATGTGGCAGTCTGACCCATGTTACGCCTCTTATGGGGTAGATGGATCGGAATGTTCATTTCTTATGTATTTAAGTGAGGTATGTGTTTAACATAAAATCAGTGAAATTCACAATATACTTTCATGTAGAAATAAACTGAAAAAATATTTGCAAATCAGACGCTTATTAGTAATTGGTTACTCGCTTACTTATCCGATCAAGTACCCGGTTACTCGGATGGTTTTTCTTTAACCCCTTAACATCTTTGTTTGTGGTATATATTAAACGGTAATTGTTATATACAATTTCCATATCATTTCATGATTTATATACCGGCCTGTATAAAACTCAAATGCACTGTACACACTTTATTTATATACCGGTTATTTATAATTACAAATTTAAACACAATATCTCTTAAATAAATTTGTATTCATTACACCTGAATAGTTTCCTATTTTGAGAGGGAGGAGGGGTCCGAAGTATATCTCTGGTTTCCATGAATTTTCATTCCATCTCAAATATTTACAGTTTATGGATTTAAGTTCTTTTAAAACATTTCGAAATTCATACTGAGGACATGCTAACACAATTTAATTGCAGTAATTATAATTGATTCAGCTCTTCTTAAACTGTATACCCCTTGGCAATCAAAGCCATCAATTATTTGAACTCTAAAAACCAAGAGTATAATCAAAACAAATCGAATGTGAAATGATAGATCAACTCCAACGTTAAATAAAATTGGTATCATTTACAAGCAAAATATATTTCCACTTATTTAATCTATAAAATTATACATCTGAGTAACCGTGTAGCAGTTTTACTAACCGATACTCGCATCGTTTGACGGTTAACCCAGTACTCGTTGACAACACTAATATATATATATATATATATATATATATATATATATATATATATATATATATATATATATATATATATATATATATATATATATATATATATATATTTTTTTTTTGAATAATGTTCCTTGTCATATATTTTTGCATGGACAGGTTGAGGGATGGTGTCCAAAGAGAACTTGGAAAAAGAGTGTGAAAATACCTGTAGAAGATGCTTCAAAAATTCAATATGTAAGTAATTGATTTCATGGAAAAGTGATAAAAAATTTGTTAAAACATTCCTGTGGCTTGGATATTTCTACAGAAAATTAAGATCTATTTAAATTGTATTACATTGGTACAAGAATTTGCAGTAAATTTTGTCAGTTTTTATGTCACATTAGGTATGAACACACTGACATTTATATTCACCATTACTATGGAGATTAATCACTCATTAACATATAGAGAGAAAAAAATTTACCAATACAAGAAATTTTGCTAACAGATTTTGCAGAATAAATATGGCTTTTATAAAATCTTCATTTTCATCAGGAGTTTGAAAATTTTTGTCATGCTCAAAGAAAAGAGATAAAGGGTCACAAGAACTAGCGTTAGCTAATGGTGTTTTCGAAATATTTTCTTTAAATTCATTTAATGCTTAAAACATAAACTTAGTCGTAGTTTTTCAATAAAAGATCATAACATATAAATAGAATAGAACAGTGCATCTAGTACTGGGTTTAGTGTGAGTACATGTAACATATTAAAGATGATGATGCATGAAGGGGGAAAAAATATACCCTGGACTGTATGCAGTTGTCTCAAGGATTTGTATAGATGTTGATACATGCCATTCGATACCCTCTCTTGCTTGGAATTAGATTGTTTATAATTAATAAATATGATGATTTTTAGGTTGATATAAATGATGATATTGAAGATTTAATGAAGATTTTGGTGGATCCAAATGAAAGACAGGGTTATGCTTGGATACGAATGAGGATCCGCAAAATGTGGCCCAAGTGGGTGTCCGCTGCCAAAAAACTCAAATCAAAACAAAGCATGAAGAAACGCCGGCGGAAAAAGGTACAGTTTGAAAGTTTTTATGAATATTTTACGATTTTTAGAATAGTGAGGTGATTTAGTACTGTTCTGCTTTCATGTAGTGGTATCTCCTTAGAACAGTTATTGTTTTTATGGGATAGTGGTGATTTATCAGAGGCTTTCTTCCAGATTCTTGTTCATTTGGGACTTCTATCCAAGCAGTCTGGGTGGAGGTTTGCAGAAAATCAATTTAAAGGTAAAGCGGTATATTCTTAGAAATGTAAGGCTGTGAAAACTTTTGTCTCAAAAGAGAAATTATATTTGGCATGTTTTTTTTCAATACACAATGCTTACTGCGTGGTTTCCATTATTAAAATCTCAAAGCTGGTTGATTTTTGGATTTTAATAAAGCTTGGACAGTATAAATTTTTTTCCTATTGCATAATCTTTATACATGTGTAATGGTCACTTAAAATTTTAGAAAATTTTGAACTTAATTTTTTGGTATTCACTAATAGTACATTGGCCTTGAGTTGCAGAATGATAAAGGGATAATGGGTTTGTGAAATACTGTGGAATCATTTTGATTCTTGGGGGTCAATGTTTGAGGGCAACCAAAATTTTATTGGTCTATGGGGAAGTATTTTCATGGGTACAGAAGATTAAGTGTGGGGATATAAGTTTGTGGGTAAGGGTGAGCCACAAAAACCATGAACCACAAAGAGTGATGATTCCACAGTCATGTGTTTTACTTGTTTTAATCAGGTGGTCCACTTGGAGAACTTGTCCAATGGAGTGATCTCATATGTACTTTGTATGTGTTAGGACATCAGCTGACCATCACCAGTGAAACTTACCAGCTGGAAAAGTAAGTTACATAACTACATGTAAATGTAAAAAAAAATCATTTAACCCCAATCTAAAGTCAGTGCATGGCCATAAATTTAAATTAAATGAAAGTTTTCTTTTGCATTCTTCTGTTTATTTTTGTAAAACTGCATGTCTACATCATATAAAGCAGTTTGGCTCTGTAATTCAGAGTTCAAAAATAGAAAAAATACTTTCTCTCCACAAGTGATGAGTTTCCATAGGTAATATAAAACATTTGTTTTATATAACTTTCAGTATCTTTATGTTTTTTTTTCAGAACTTAAAATGCATTGCTTGATTTTTACTCTCAGTTTAAATAGGTCATCATTTCAGTAAGAAAACTGCACTTGTTTGACTACTTCTGTTTTTCTTTTTATTTATCATTTTTGTATTACATTTATACATTTCATTGGATTCAATTTCATAAAACTTTTATACATATACAAGTGAGAAAAATAATTACATGTACCATTATGACAATTCTCTTTTGTGGATTCTCTGTTGAATGCTTTTATCTGTTTGAATAAAGGTTTTCATTATTATGATTTAATTTTCAATGTTCAATAAAGTTTACAACTGCCATTAATAACATCGTTGCCAGTCAAGTGTTTCTGATGTATTCTACACATTTAAGGGACGTGGTGGTAAAGAAACCCTTGGATCTGCAATGATCTTATTACTTCCCTTGTTAAGAATTGATTCCAATCCTCCTGATTTTGGTGGTCATTTTAATGATTATATTTTGAAAGGAAAATCATAGTAAGGTAAATGAAAAAAACAAAAAACAACCAAGAGATGGATTGATTGTCATGAAAAATGTATGTTGTTAAAAAAAGCCATCTAATGATTTTTCTTTCAGAGGGTTTTTAACTTTGGTTACAAATTTGGGAGATCTATACAAATTTTTAATAAATGACTATAATCAATTTTATTTATCAAAGATTACTTAATGATTTTAACCTATGTACCCTTGATTTATATACTTTCTTACTGAACATTTAAAATCCACTTGTGATGTCACTCTTTTGTTTGAGCGCCCCATTATTTTTCAGGAATGGAGATTTGCAAATTACATTTAAAACGGTGTTCGCTATGTTCAAAATCTCACTCCCGTGCCTCTACCGAAGAAAGAACTTAGAAAATTTCATTAACTTAAGTTTATTTTCATATTAAGAAAAAATTATACAGGTACCGCTGAGGATCAATCCGGATACCCTCCCTATGATAGTCAGACACTCATGTCACTAAGCTATCTAAGCTGTTGACAGACGATAGATTTAAATTACTTTTATAACACTTTACTTGCCTTACTCTCTCTCTTTATATTAAATACTACTATGTTAAATATATATTTACGGTGTATCTTTTTATACATTTTTAGCTCTTCTGAGCCAAAGGCTCAAAGAGCTAATGCTATGGCCATTTTTTGCGGTGTGCGTAAACTTTTTAGAATATGGGCCATAACTCAAGAACCTCTTGGCCAATTATAGTCAAATTTGTCACAGGGTATCCTTGGCCCAAGGACTCCCTTTTATACTAAAACTAGGGTTGTGACCCTTTAACAAGGGGAGATAATTAGGAAAATAGAAACAAAAGTACTGGTTGCTAAAAAATCTTCTTCTCAAGAACCACTGGGCAGATTATCACCAAACTTATACAAAAGGATGAGGATATGTTGTAGATTAAAAATTGTTCAAGGCATCACCCTGGGGCAAAGGGCCTGGTCTCAAGGTCACTTCAAAGTTGACCAAAAATTACATTTTAATAAAATGTTGATATTTTGCTTACCATAAGGACTAGGATCATCAAATCTTGTCAGTTGATGCATCTAAGGACCTCATATCATGTTGACTTAAAAGTAGGTCACGGTGACCTACTTTTAAAATTTTGTGGCCATTATTTTTCAAAATGATTTAGAGGCATATTTTGAACAATTTAAGGCCTATGATCATCAAACTTTGTCAGTTGATGTATCTTGGGTCCTCAAAGTACATCAACTAAAAAGTAGGTCACCTTGACCTACTTTTTTGAATTTTATGGCTAATCTTTTTCAAAACAATTAAGGTCAATAATTCAAATACTGAGAGGTTTAGAATCATGAAATGTTGCAAGATGATGCATCTTGGGGCCATAAAACATATGTAATAAAAAGTAGGTCACAGTGACCTACTTTTTGAACTTTGCAGGCATTCGATTTCAAAGCATTTCAAAGGCATAATTTGGACATTTTAAGACCTATGATCATAAAACTTTGTAAGTTGATGCATCTTGGGTCATCGCAGTAGGTTGACTGAAAATTAGGTCACCGTGACCTACTTTTCAATTTATATGGCTATAATTAAATATTTCAGGTACTAATTGGCTTAGAATCATCAAACTTTGTCAGTTGATGCATCTTGGGTCTTTGGAGTAGGTCGACTGAAAAGTAGGTCACTGTGACCTACTTTTGAATATTTATGGCTTTAATTAAATATTTTGGGTACTAATTGGCTTAGAATCATCAAACTTGGTCAGATGATGCATCTTGGGTCTTCGAAGTAGGTCGGCTGAAAAGTAGTTCACCATGACTTACTTTTGAAAATTTATGGCTTTAATTAAATATTTCAGGTACTAATTGGCTTAGAATCATCAAACTTTGTCAGTTGATGCGTCTTGGGTCCTTGAAGTACAACAACTGAAAAGTAGATCACGGTGACCTACTTTTGAAAATTTATGGCTTTAGTTAAATATTTCAGGTACTAATTGGCTTAGAATCATCAAACTTTGTCAGTTGATGCATCTTGGGTCTTCGGAGTAGATCGACTGAAAAGTAGGTCATAGTGACCTACTTTTGAAAATTTATGGCTTTAATTAAATATTTCAGGTACTAATTGGCTTAGAATCATCAAACTTTGTCAGTTGATGCATCTTGGGTCCTCGGACTACAACAACTGAAAAGTAGGTCACCATGACCTACTTTTGAAAATTTATGGCTTTAATTAAATATTTCAGGTACTAAGTGGCTTAGAATCATCAAACTTTGTCAGTTGATGAGTCTTGGGTCTTTGGAGTTGGTCGACTGAAAAGAAGGTCACTGTAATCTACTTTTGAAAATTTATGGCTTTAATTAATTATTTTGGATACTAATTGGCTTAGAATCATCAAACTTTGTCAGATGATGCATCTGGGTCTTCGGAGTAGGTCGACTGAAAAGTAGTTCACCATGACCTACTTTTGAAAATTTATGGCTTTAATTAAATATTTCAGGTACTAATTGGCTTAGAATCATCAAACTTTGTCAGTTGATGCATCTTGGGTCCTTGAAGTACAACAACTGAAAAGTAGATCACGGTGACATACTTTTGAAAATTTATGGCTTTAATTAAATATTTTGGGTACTAATTGGCTTAGAATCATCAAACTTTGTCAGTTGATGCATCTTGGGTCCTTGGAGTATGACAACTGAAAAGTAGGTCACCATGTCCTACTTTTGAAATTTTATGGTTATAATTTTAAAAAATATTTTAGGTGTTAATTGGCTTAGAATCATCAAACTTAGTTGATGGGTCCTCAGAGAATGACAAGTGATAAGTAGGTCATCTGACCAACTCTCAGGTACTAGTTGACTTAGAATCATCTTGGGTTCTCAGAGTGTGAATTGGAATTTCAATGGTTTATCTAAATATACAGGATACTTAGAGACTTCAAATAGAAGTGATAGGTTGTACAGTTTATCAGAAGAGCGATTCAAGGCCCTTGGGCCTCTTGTTTATTATATATGGTATTAACAAACAATAATTACAAGCATTTAAAACAGTGGATTTTAAGTGGATTTTAATCAGGTTAATTAATGTATGAGTAGCGCTCCATTCCTTAAAAGCAATGGGCCTCGGCCCCTTTGGGGCCTTGGCTCCATTACTTTTAAGGAATGGAGCACTAACCCTAATGTGGTCTTTGCTAAAATAAAATTACTTCTATTAAAGGATAGAGTCACAATAAAGAGTCAAGTTGTACATGTATAAAGTCATGTTTTATGTGTAACTAAAATTCTTAGTTTTTAGTAAAATCTGTTTATAGTCAAAACAGTAAGTGTGAATAAGAAAATATTACTATGAATTTCTTAGAAAAAGAATAAATTCTATATAAAGTACAGGGATCTATATTGTTCAATGTGTTGATTTGTAGAATTCTGAGCCAGCTGCCTGCGGCTAACTCTCCCTGTCAGAGTAGAAAGGATCTGCCCGTCCATATCATCTACACAGACATTGTAGGTCTCAGGCAATTCAAAAGATATGTTAAAGGAGGCTATGGCAAATTCAGGTGTGTGAAGGATTTTTTACATTGTCTCTAGTTTATAATTTTATAATTTTAATTTAATTCTTATATTGCAAGGAAACTTAATTGGTCTTCATTAACAAAGATGTTGATATAAATTTAGATAAAAATGTGTGTATTAAGGAGGTAAGTCAAATCAATCATCAAGAAATACCAATGAATTAATAGACTAAAAAAGACTTGCAATCAATACAAAATGTGTGTTAAAGTGCTTTTGTATCTCAGATTAAAAACAATGGCCATTGCTGAGTTAGACTGACAAGTCACAACACCAAGATACTCTGTGATACAAACATTCCTCAAATGTTTCAATCACTTACCTGTCCATATGAAAGAAATTTGAATGAATGTTTTTGTGATGTCTAAAATTTTCAGCTGTTTATTGAGGATTGTGGACTCCTTTGGTACAGAGCCGGCATATAACTTACGAGCATATGCCAAGGCCCACAAAATGCTAACCTCCTGGGGGGGACAGGACCTTTTACCTCAACAGTTCTTCACCATGTTTCGTAAGATGTTTTTTTGTTTGAAAGATATGTATTCATAAATTTCTTTCCACATCATTTTTTAGATTAATATTTGCAATTATTTACATAATTCTCTGTATTGCATCTTTGTGTAGCTCACAGTCCAGATAATTCCTTTATGGGGTTTGTTGTGGAGCAGCATTTAAATGATTCAGATGTGAAGGGAATCAAACGAGAGAACAGGGCATTAGTGTATGGAAAAAATGATTACATGTATGAGGTAAATTGTCTTTGATTTACTGTGAAAGTAATAAAATAAAGCAGTTAAAAACACATGTAGAGCTCAATGTTTTAAACAATTTTATTTGTGAATTTGTCTAACACTACTTTAGGGCAAGGAAAATTATCTGAATACAATCAAAAAACATTTGGAAGTTCATGGTACAGTTTATGTTGATGAAAAGGCTAAAGACACCAAATCTTTTGTACCCAGTTTTGTCAAAAACCACGGTCTGCAAAAGCCAGAGGATTTTCATATATTGCTGAGGAAATCTAAGGTAAAAAATCATTACACACCAAAAGTGATGTGCTAGGGTATTACATTTCTTAGCTCACCTGAGCTGAAGGCTCAAGTGAGCTTTTCTGATCGAAATTTGTCCATTGTCTGTCGTCGTCGTCATTGGCGTTGTCGTAAACTTTTCACATTTTCATTTTCTTCTCCAGAACTACTAGGCCAATTTCAATCAAACTTGGCACAAAGTATCCTTGGGTGAAGGGGATTCAAGTTTGTTCAAATGAAGGGCCACACCCTCCTCCAAGGGGAGATAATTACAAAATAGCTAGAAATTAAAGGCATTATTGAAAAATCTTCTTCTCAAGAATCAATGGGCCAGGAAAGATGAAAATCATGTGGAATTATTGTCAGATAGTGTAGATTCAAGTTTCCTCAAATCATGACCCCTGGGGATAGGGTGGGGCCACAATGGACAATCAAAGTTTTACATAGGAATATATAGGAAAAATCTTCAAAAATCTTCTCAAGAATAGCAAAGCTATGATTGGTCATATTTATATGGAAGCATCCTCAGATGGTGTAGATTCAAGTTTGTTCAAATCATGACCCCCAGGGGTAGGGTGGGGCCACAATGAACGATCAAAATTTAACATAGGTGTATATAGGAAAAATTTTCTTCTCAAGGACAGCAAAGCAACGATTGGTAATATTTATATTGAAGCATCCTCAGGTGGTGTGGGTTCAAGTTTGTTCAAATCATGACCCTCGGGGGTAGGGTGGGGCCACATTGGACGATCAAAGTTTAACATAGGAGTATATAAGAAAAATCTTCAAAAATCTTTTCTCAAGAACAGCAAAGCAATAATTGGTAATATTTATATGGAAGCATCTACAGGTAGTGTAGATTCAAATTTGTTCAAATCATGACCCCCGGGAATAGGGTGGGGCCACAATGGATGATCAAAATTTTCATAAGTATATAGGTAAAATCTTCGAAAATTTTCTTCTCAAGAACAGCAAAGCCATGACTGGTCAAATTTATATGGAAGCATCCTCAGGTGGTGTAGATTCAAGTTTGTTTAAATCATGACCCCTGGGGTAAAGGTGGGGCCACAATGAACGATCAAAGTTTTACATAGGATTAGGAATATATAGGAAAAATCTTTAAAAATCTTCTCAAGAACAGCAAAGCCACAGTTTGTCATATTATATGGAAGCATCCTCAGATAGTGTAGATTCAAGTCTATTCAAATCATGACCTCCAGGGTAGGGTGGGGCCACAATAAAAGTTCAAACTTGTAGAGAAAAAAGTCACAGTTAGACAAAAAATTATGTAAGCATCCTGAGTTAGTTTAGATCTTATTATGTTCAAATCATATCCCAACTCCCTTTTAGGGTTAGGTTGGGACAACTTATACATTTAAGCTTTTCATTACTAAACTGATTTTTGCTTTTTTCCTAGCCACAGTGCTCAGGTGAGCGATGTGGCCCCTGGGCCTCTTGTTTTTATTTGTTATGAATGTAATTCAGTTCAATGTGTAATGATTATTAAAGTTACAGGGAATGAAAATAACTTCTCTGTAATTCATTACAACCTGATGTTCACTGTTTTACTGTAGAATTGTTTCATTGTACATGTATAGTCAAATTGAAGGTTAATGACAAAGCTTCCAGTCTGGTTTGAGGGGTCAACTTGAATTTGTCACCATCTGGGGCATGTTGCTACATAAACATATCTTTCTGTAAATTTATAGTCTTAAATGATTTTAAAAATTGTATGAACAAAAAAATATTTCAGATACATTAATTACATGTGTTGAAACTTAATGGTTGTTGTTTTGAGATTAATATTTTCTTCTTACAGGTGTTTGTTGGCCTAGGCTTCCCATATGAAGGACCTGCTCCTTTAGAAGCCATAGCTAATGGTGCTATTTATATCAATCCCAAATTTCCCACCCCACATAGTAGTAAAAATACACAGTTTTTTAAAGGCAAACCAACAGCTAGAGAGGTAAGATTAAATGCATGAATGCTTCACTGTAGATATCATTATAAAATTTTTGCAGTTTCCTAGGCCAGAGAAATGAAATTTCAGATCCTCATCCCCACCCACCCCTCTCGAAGTGCCTCGGCACATTGTTTTTTTATTTTGATTATATTACATTTTACTAAGCAGGGCTCAAAATAATTATTTTTTGCACTGGTCACTCGGGCTATCAACTTAAAATTTTACTGGTCAATTGATAACTTTCACTGTCCCAGTGGGCAAGTAGTTATAAAAAAGACTGGCCCAAAACCAGTGCTTAAACAAGGGTATGCAAGGTGGAGCAAAAGAGCACATCAATCCCAATATAAATTATTGCTTGCGTAACTTCCGTCACATACACACTCGCTCACTCACACACAGGCGTGTTACTTTATCCACTCCAACTCTGTTATGAGGGTATAAAAATCAGACTATATTCAACGTAATCATGAGTTTATCTTCCGATTTTAATATACAACAGTTTAAAAAATCATATTTCTTCATTGTTAAATCATGATCCTTAATCAACTCTAGTAGTGCCACTTTCAGATTGTGCATAGCCCTTGTTTACTGCACATATTTCTTGTTTTATACATGTAATACACCATTTATATCTTGTTCCACCATGGTGAAACAGCATTTAGAAAACATTACAAATAATGTTTAAAAATATACTCCTCAAGAAAATTTGTTCTGAGAAATATCCTTGATATTGAATTTACATTGCATTATTTCATAGTACAACCTAACAGAGCAAGGAATTGTTCGCATCCAAATAGAAACTGGACGCACAAACCTTTCTAGTTAACTAGCCCGACTGTGAATTGATTTTGATATGCATAAAATAATCACTGGCCTCAAAGACATGCGAGTTTTACAAAGCACTAGCCCAAATCCAGAATTTACTGGCCCCAGACCAGCGGACCATCAATCATTTCGAGCCCTGCTAAGGAAAAACAATTGGCATCCCTTTAGTCTGAGTTAACCCCCTTCCCCCATTTGCATTAAAAGTAGAATAGTGAGAAAAGCAATGTATAATGTGGAAAAAAATAATATGTCTGTACAGAGAAGGCAGAAAACAGGCAAAACTATACTTATCTTAATTAAAAGTTTTGATACATCTAGATATCATCAACAATTTTCAAAAAGATATGATCAAATTATTCTTCTTCGTATTAACATTTATTATCAAAATTGAATTGTCAGAATTTTGCAAAACAGGTTGTGTAATATAGTCTATAGAATATACATGTAACCTCTGCTGAACATTTCTTATAGATTTACCATTTTCTGTAGCATTTTTATCTTTTAAATTAAATCTATCTTGCCATATTTATATTAACAGTGTGAAAATTTTGTATAAAAAGAAATAAAATTTGGCCACCTGCCCCAATTTTTTAGGCAAGTTAGGATGTTAAATTTTAAATTTTTCTGGCCTTTAAGTACACAGTGTCAAAAGGGAAACTTACAGATATTTATAGAAACCCAATCCAATCAAGAATTTTCCAAAAGTTTATGCCCACACCCAAAACCATTGAAAGCAATTACCGGGTACTTGTGAAATTTAGTATCTGGAGAATCAATAAGATGTTGAAGGGTGTATAGGTATGACTGACTAATATATGAATTTTATTGTCAACTTTCATGTTTCAAACCCTCAGATACATGAATCTCACATTGATAAAAGGAGGGTAAAGGGGGGGGGGGGGGGGTGAAGGGAAAACAGAAACTGGAGGAAGCTACAGAGATTTAATTTTATAAGTCAACTGATTAAGTCAGATGACTATAATGCTGTCTGTTGTCATGCATGGTTTGTAAATTTTTGAATATTTTTGGTTTCTGTTCTAAAACATCTGAGGCAATTTCTAGTAATTTTGGTATGTAGTATCTATGAGTTAAGGGGACAAAAATTTCAGATTTCATCATCATGGTCTAACCCCACCTCCTACCCCCCAAGCTTGAAAAATGGGGTTAAAATCATTAAATTTCATGCAGTGTTCAAAATTTTATTTCTGTACTACCAGTGGTCCTGGCCACAGGACCGCAGAGCAGACTTCAACTAAAGTCATTATATCATTGATCTGTAAAATGCTTATAAACTGGGAAAGAAGCTCAAAATTTGAGTTCCAAATAAATGTATTCTGGTACTTAGGGTGGGTCTAGGTTGATCATTTCATCTTTTAAAAACTTTGGTACTCAGAAGCATCTAGAAGACAAGATTCATGCGATGTGATAATGATCAAAGTGCCTTCACCAGATTGTATAATTGTATACAGCAGTATGCATGAGTCAGGAGTTTGTAGTTACTATCAAGGTCCATAATCCTAGTGTCTTACTTACTAAGGTGAAAACAGTTTTCAAGCATTTGCTTGCATGTTTACAACAAACAAAATTCAAAATTTCTCCAAATACAACAATTTTTGTACATATTTTACAAACCTTTAATGTTCTATAATGTTTAGTCTGAGGTTAGAAAAAGAAACATTCTTATAAATGAATTATCTTGTATAGCATGTTGGTATCTTATTTTTCAGCTAACTAGTCAACACCCATATGCAGAAATGTTTATTGGTGAACCATATGTATATACAGTCGAAATCAATAATCAAGAAGAAGTAGAGAAGGTGCTGGATAAGATTCTACTAGAAAGAGAAGTAAGTTTATATGTATATGCAGTCATACAGTAATGTACAATTACATAAAAATTAGAAAGGTCGGACATTTATAGACTGAATGACTGTATATTTACTAGGGATGTCAACGAGTACCCAGTTAACCGGGTACTTGATCGAACGTCCGTGTATCGAATACTAAAATCGGTACTCGGATGTATATTTTTTCATATTTCAAAGTGCATATATTTATTAAAAACTTTTATTTAAATATGCACTGTCCATGTCTTTACAGTAATTAGCGTCACCTTCTCCAGTTAATACCCGTTATCGCCCGTTACCGCCTGTGGCTATGTACATGTATATACAGTATAATTACTGTGACCAATCACTTGACACTTGTGACCCTAATTTTTGGATGGCTTCAATTATTTGATTTCAATGTTTCAATCGTTTACTTACATTGTAGATCCATTAATTATCCTTAGATTATTCAATCAGGATACAGTAGCGAAATCGGGCATACGTAGAAATACCGCTATCAATTCAAAAGTGAAGAAATGTTTAAAAATAACCGAAGATTAAAAAATTATTAAAAGTCAGCTGTGCATAGTAAAATTTAGCGTATACGGGGGGAAACAGCCATATATTTTAAGGAAACACTCTCTATTTTGTTGGGTTGTTTCCAGAGCATCAACGGCAGTTGGAAACTTGGGATAATTTATGCATGATGGGTGAAGTTATAAATACTAGTAACAAGGAATCGTCATACTTAAATTTCAAAGTTATTATTAATTAAAAAAGAAAAAATTTGAAAATGTTAACAATTTACGACTAGCGATCACGACAACAATATTCTCTTTCGCTAGTCTAATCTTTACAAAGTTGCGTCCTTCTCTTCATTCCGTTGATCAAAATGTCTTCCTAAACAAGAACTGTAAATCATAATTTTGTAGTCTTTGGTGTATTAATTGATCATGTCTTTTGTGTTTGTTTGATGCATAAATTAAGTACCAAAAATCATTTTCGTTGGGCTCGATGATTATATACATGCATTACTTATAAATGAAAGGAAACCTTGATAGGTTATACAGGTCTATAAATCAACAAACTTTTACATGCATTTATACACACTTTTTCCGAGTACCCGGGTACTCGATCGGAAAATCGTCCGAGTAACTGATTATCAAATATTGACCGATTTGACATCCCTAATATATACATTAAGTGTTAAGTGAACAGATTGAAGACAATTTTTTATCAAATTGGCAACTCTGAGGTTTGATTGAACCTAAGGAATTCCTTAACACATACTTCTGGTATTGTGGTGTCTTGGTACCTCTTTCACTTTTCAAGTTTGATGTGTTTGTTCTCTATAACAATTTAATTTAGGATATGAAAAAACATGTAAGTCATTACAGCACCAAATTTGCCTTACACGTTCTGCTTTATATTTATTTTATATTATACCAATGAAATTTTAAAATTTGCAGGTGCTGGTGCTTTGGTGTATGTTTTAATTATTTTTACAATGAATGTGTGAGTCCAAGAAAAAAATATGTAATAGTACATAAAACATTATGGCAACATTTAGCATGTTTTATTAGGAAATCACAACACAATGCACATTTAAATTCATTATCATTTACATGAAAATGAAAGAGGGTTATAATTACATGTACAGGCTTAATACTTTATATACATTGTACACGTACATGTACGTGTTTAAGGAGTGTAATCATGAACCAGTCAAGAATATGTATGCTTCATGAGGTGCGTGTCTTATTTTGTTGGTAATTATTATAGAGGGTCAATTCCAGCTTGTCAATAACATGTTTGTCCATAAACATGCTGTATTTCACTTCAAGTGAATTACTGTAAACCAACTAGTATTTACTTGAATTCTAACAACTTTTAATTGATTGAAAATCCATCTGCAACTTTCAGTGACTGTGAGACTGTGAAAACATTCTGGCAATAAATAAACACATGGTTTGCAGCAAGAAATATTTGAGAGTAAAAGAAGAGTAAAAGAAGGTGGCAAAAGTTGCAGATATTTCTAGCACACGAATAATAGTTGGTTTAAAGTATTTACAGAATTAGTCTTAGCTTTTTTGGGATATATGAACATTTATATGTATGATTTCAAAGACAGCTTCATATGATCAGCTGGAGATGTACACACAAGGACAAAAATTACACAGTTCATTAAATACAACATGACAATACTTCTATGGACATTTGGTCAAAATGTTGAAAATATTTTTCAAAAATTAAAAAAATCTGTAAATTTAAAATCTTTTTTACAAATGTATTTGGTATTTGATATATTGAGAGTAGTTTTAGATCCAGATTAATTTTTTTTCCCCCACTCATTTCAAGATGTGCAAATGTACATGTATGGTTTGTAAATTGTTTCAGTTCAAACCTCACATGCCATATGAGTTTACAGAGGAAGGAATGCTCCAAAGGATGAATGCTTACATAGAACATCAGAACTGGTGTCATTTCCAGAAACAAGAGGCAAAATGGCCGCCAGAGTCAGCCATATCGTATATCATGGGATCAGATGGCCAGTCTTGTAAAGATGCTTGCTGGGGAAAAGGTACAGCTATGTTATATACTGTAGAAGCACACATGGTATAATTTATGCTATGTACACAGTCACAAATTTTCTGCAGAAATATTGTCCTAGCATACTTAAAGTTCATTTAAGACGATCTAAGAAATCTGTTTAATTTTCTACATGCAAATTGAACAGAAAATTTGATTCGATCAGCAGAATTTTGTTCCCATGGAAAAAAGTACATTTACAGTATGTGTAGGAGGCAGTTCAGATAAAAGTGAAGTTAATATTTGTTGTGTAAAAATAGAAATATTAAAGAAATATTTACACTGATTAAATATTTTCTATCCTATATGTTACCATGCAATATTTTTTTTCAGGTTTAATTTGTGAGCCTAGTCATTTCCTTCAGATTAACTCAGCTCGTTCTATAAAGCAGGCTAAGGTGGAATGCAGTCGAGAAGACTACATGGCAGACATTTTCGTGCCAGGTTATGATCCAAGCACCATGGAGTGTGCTCTCCAGCGTGAAGAGTTGTTGTTTAGCTGTGTAGGCAAGAAAAATAATTTCCGTCGATACTGTCCATGTCGAAATTACATCAAGGGACAAACTGCTCTCTGTAAGGAGTGTGTTTGAGTTACATGATTGGTCAAAATATTCTTTTTAACTCGTCTGGTTGACTAGAATATTGTTTGAGTCATGTGATTGGCTTAAATATTGTGTTGTCTTTCCTTAAATCCAATGCAGCATTTAATTACATGTACATGTAGCAGCCACCTGCTATGTAAGAGTGTTGTTCTTCCATTTACTGTGCAAGTCTTTTTCATCTGTTTTATTCCAGCATTTGGAAAATATTTCTAAAGATGGAATTTTCACTTAAATCATGGACAAATTATTTATTTCATCATAAAACATTATATAAATATTGCATTTAGTTGAGTGTAACATTGAAAATTTTCACCCCAAGAAAACCATTGTCAACTGAGGCGCATATCAACTACATGCGATATTTATTATATTATACTGAATGTTTTATAAAAATACATATAACAGTGAACATTGCATGCATAAATTCTGCGCAGTCACTATTTTTTGGAATATCACCCGTCCTCAAGCAATGTTGATTGTTGCTACGCTGGAGGGCGTGGCTTCATTATTCAGTGGGTAACAGTGTTTTTTGACAAATGTTTCTCGACAAATCAGATTCAACTGATTTACATGAAAGTATAATATATGTGAATAATGATTTTTTTTTTTATAAATATATGTGTTTATAGGTAAAGCTTGTAAGTTAATTATAAATACTGTAATGTCTGTTTTAAATTTCAAAGAACATTCTGCATAACAGGTTCTGCAGAATTTTTGAATTTATAGTCAAAATTTGGGGAAATAGGGTTGTGAAACATTCACATTCCTATTATCTTTGGTATATGTATTGAAGATCCAATGAGATTACAGGAAATTTGCAAAAATGCAGACATTTGAACTATACCTTTGAAAAAGCAAATTAATGCAAAAATTACAAACTTTAAAGAAAACCTATTATACTTAAATCAGTTTAATGACTGATATTTTGAGTTTTGTAATACTCCTAGCATAATGAAGCACAAGTTGAATTAAATTTTTAAATGCATAATTTACATGTTCTTAAAAAACTGCTTTCAATGTCAGGTTGATCTCGTGTCTAAGAAACGTTCATGATAGAAATGAAATTTTCAACTACTTTAAATGTATGAAATAGGTATTGCTCATGAAATAGTGTCATTTATGGTATTTTAGTACCTTTAACACATTTTCTAAGTTTAAATGGAAATTTTAAATCAGAAATTTATAGAATATTTTCAAAACAAATAAAAACTATTATTTATGTTAAAAAAAAATATTAATAAATGCTCAAATCCTAGTATTTGTAACATAACCACATGATAAAAATCTGTAAATGCATAGAATTCAAAGTGATTTCTTTAAGTCTCACAAAGCTAGTCAGAAGAGAGGACATTCCATTGTTCTGTATGTGTAAAGTACATGTAACATTGTTTTGAACTACTGGGTACATAAATTTATGCTGTCTCATTTTAATCAAGTATCTTTAGTTGTTCAGTCATATGTAACATAATGAATTAAGGGTATATAATTACAAATTGAAAAATTTGTCGCAGGAATTGAAAATGTTTTTTTTTTTTAAGTAAATACATGTAAGTTTTGTTGTTTTGTTTTTGTTTTTTTTTAAAGGAGTGGATGATGATTGTGATAATGTTGATAGTGATTTAATAAGCTGGCCTTAAAGTAAGCATTTGTCAGTACTTTAAATGCTTTACAATACTTGAATGCTTTACAACTTGTTAATATATTCTTGTCAGAAAAATTGTCACATGCTTAAATGTTCAGTCAGTGCAATTTGTTGTTCAAAATACTGTACATTGTTTATAGATATATTGATGCTGTTAATTTATTGATTGCTTCCCTTTTTGTTTATCATCAAAATGAGATGAAACTGTACCTGTATTGTGCCAATGAAATCTACAGGATATATGTCTTATGTGGTAGCTGTACAGCAAAGTAGGCAGAGAAAAATCTATCTCTCTGTTTATCAGTAATCATATAAAATAACACACACAGTCATACACCCTCCTCAGCAAATTAGAAAATTATTGCAAAAATATTTACAGATATGCACTTTGATTTCTGTTTTTGTATAATGTCATATGGGTGCTGAAGGCTTAGACTTATGACTTAATTTATGTTTGAATTTGCTTTTTTCCATTCCTTTTGACAAATTTAATCATTTTAACAAACAGCAACAAAGTGCAACTCTGACCAATTTATCAATTTCAGTACTTTAATTGTTATACATGTACATACATACCCACCATTCCTGGTACACATTAATCTATTCTAGGTCATAGTGGTGTAGATTTTATGGTCCATCAAATTTTCAGGGTAAATTTGCATGGAAGACTACTGAATTGAATTTTTTTTTTTTTTTTACATATATGACCAAAAACATGAGAAATGTTGCCATCAGTTTTTATTTACTCGTTTAGTTCTTTAATTAATTGTACTTTGTTAAGCTACCTCATGGTGCTCTGATCTTGTTTGTCTAAATCTGATAAATTTAAGATCTATTGAAAAATCAAAATTACACTTCACAGATATTGTGTAAAACAAAAAAAATAATCAAGATTTTGAATCTATTGCAGGGGATTTGTATAAAATGTATGATTGTCTTTCCTGTTAATATTGGTATAGCAATTCATTACATGTAACATACAAGTTGATTAAAGTTTCATTGAAAGGTCTTTTTCTGTAATTCAGCAAACTAATTAAAATTTTCATTAGTTCAATATATTTTATGTTTTAACTTGACTATGAAGTATGAATGTTCATAAAGTCCATTAAAAACAACCACTGCATGAATTCACACATGAATACCTGTACCAGTATACACTAGCTGTTTCCTGTGGTAATGTTATGTAGCCATTCCAAATACCTATCTTGGTACACTGAACAAATATTTTGTTCCTTGATTTATACTTTAGGTAGACACCTTTTTTTTTGTTCTGAATTTTACAAACACCAGTTAGATGTATATTATACTTAATGAGTGTTTCAATTGTTTGTTTGTTTGTTTTTTTAATTGTAGTAATAAACCTGTGAAAAAATTGAGAATCAGCATTCAACTTGTCAAAATAAATACATCTATATATGATCTTTATGACAGAAAAATTACATGATTTATTGTAAATTACACTTAAAATAAAGTGGTTGACAATTGTTTGGTATTTATTATTATGCACAATATTATTAGATAAAATATGAAGTGACCGATGAAGAGATGGACGTACATATTAGTGATGTATTTACCAGCTAGTATATCAAGTTTCCAAAGATAAGATATTTGGTCATTTAGGACCGTCTATTTCACTATTGGTTTTTTTTTTTGACATTGTGAAAAGGTGTAAGACCTGAGTTTATTATCTATTTTACATTCAACAAAAGAAACCTGCCATTTACCCCTAAGAAAAAATGTTTAAAGACAGCAATGTATTGATGAACTGAAATTACTTTAATGGGGGAAAAGCAGGCAAATAAAGCGGTCAATAAATTTATCTTGACTTGCTGTAATTACATTTTAAACAAAATTGCTTTAATTGATTACAAATGGAGTATAACGTTGTAATCAATTTATTTTAATTTTAAGATCCAAGGGCAGATCACTTTAATTGCAATAAAATACCATGGAATTGGAATTTTTTAGGATGCTTTGTATAGAAGTTCCTTAAGCTGATGTGTTTGCGCCTGGAAAGAAAACCTTATCGTTGTCTGTCATACAATACAAGTACTAAAAGATTACATCTATCATTGGCTTCGATCTGATAAATAAGATGTGTTTAGCTTCTTTAAACATGCACAGGTTAAGATGTTTCAAAGGCATCATTTTTAGCTCACCTGAGCTGTAAGCTCAATTGAGCTTTTTGATTATCCCTTGTCTGGCATCTGTCCATAAGTCTGTAAATTTTACACATTTTGCAACTACTTCTCCAGAAGACCTGGGCCAATTTCAACCAAACTTGGCACAGAGCATCCTTGGATAAGGCGATTACAAAGTGTCATGTCCCTTTCCAAGGGGAGGTAATCAAGAAAATGCAAAATTGGGTGGGGTCATTTAAAAAAACTCAAGAACCAATAGCTGTGCCAGAAAAGTTTTTTTTTCCCTACATTCTATATTTCGGTATATAGCTATAACTTGGACTACATATTAATGTATCTATTGTGGCTCCACCCCTAATCCAGATAGTAGTCAATTTCATAAATCAAGTTAAAAGGGCAAAAACAGACCTCTGGAAATGCCAGAGGGCATCAAATGCCTAGGAGGAGTAAGCATTGACTGGTCAGACCCACTGCAAACCCTCTGTATTAATCGGGTAAATGGAGTAATCCATGCTCAATACTACACTACATTCATTTGCTCACATCAAGGTGACTAATTGTGGACTTCCTGTTCTATGGAAGAAGCTGTGTATTAATTCCCAAATATTAAAGCTTTGATCTGCTCTTGCAGCCTCATCATAAGGGTCCTTGACTTTAATCCACACTACAAGAAGATGCTTGCATATTAATATGACTAATTGTTGCCCTGCTGCTCTTATAAAAGAGATTTATGAAGATATTTCTTAAGTATTCCAATAATTTAAAAAAAACATTAATCCCCTATGGTGGCCCCACTCTAGCCCACCATCAGGACCACGATTTGAACAAATCTGATAATACATCACTGAAAATGCTAATGCATATATATACAGTCATAAAATGACCATTTGCGAATAAGGAACCCATTAGGCAGTGCTATAAATATATGATGGCATTATTCCAAAATCTAATTTGTTTGTCAAAGTAGTTCAATGACTTGCAGAATTAAATGTGAAAAAATTACATTCATGGCCGTCAGACACTTCTAGATTAGAAAGCTCATTTTAGCTTTTGGCTGTTTCAAAGTGAGCTTTTAAGCGAGGCTGCGCATCATGTAAGGTTCTGACATAATTATACAGTAAAACACGCTTATAGCAAACATGCTCATAATGAATTAATGCTTACAGTAACATGATTTTCATTCCCTGTGACTTTAAAACTACATGTACACATGTATATTGTAAACTTAGCAGATTTAACAAATTATGCTTATAACGAGGCAAAATTGTCCATCCCTGGCACTTCAGTATAAGCATTTTTACTGAATAAGCCATTATGTCACTGATGAAATAGTAAATAATGAAAATTTTGAAAAGCAATGTTCTACAATAGCAATTTGTGCAGGTAAATCATCATTCAAAATTTGCAAAAATTACACTGTAAGTCATCAATTTGTAATAATAAAGTTATCATGTCTTATAGGTTGCTGATTTTCAGTGAACACGAGTCATTGATGAGTATCGGTAAGTCATTGATATGCACGTACAACAAATCCTGAACTAGGTGGTAAATAAATTACAAAGTTGTAAATATTTTGGAGATGCCCCGTTGTACAGTTACATGTATGTACTGCTTTTCATGTTTGAAACAAATCATAATAAAGTTACCAAATAGGCCTACTGTAGATTCCCTTTTTTCCCCAAATACTCATTATTGCAAAATGACTCTAACTTCAAATGAATAATAATTCATGAATGGACGGTTGATCTAGAGATTTTACATTGATTTCAGCACCATAAAAATGAAAGCGAGTAATTTTATTTTGTGAGTGGTGCTTCTTGCAAAATTATGTAATACATGTAATCAACTAGAACTGTCCAAAAGGGACAAATACCCCCTGCAGGGTATTCAGAGAAGGTGCCAAGTCACTAATACTAGTATTTGATGGATCTAAGAGGTGTTCACAATTTGTTTAAACATTTAGAGTGAAAATTTACTGGTAGTTGCTCATTAAATTTTTTCAATGAATGAAAATAAGGCGCAGCCTAATAAAACATCAATACTTATAACATTTTTTTTTATTACATTGAAAAAATAAATAACAATATTTCAAGTATTTCTCTGTTGGAAAGTATGGATGCATTATAATCATTTTTTCTACAGTGACTATAGGTCAACATCATGACACACCCTCAGGTCATAAGCAATCTGTGTGTGAAGTGGAAACTCCCAACATTCCAACATTATTCTCCATAAGAAAGATACAGACCGGATATGAATTATGAACTTTTTCTGTCAGTGACCTTGAACTTGCCCAAATGACCTTGGGTCAAAGTCATGACACACCCTAATGTCATAAGCAATCTTTGTGTAAAATGGAAACTCATCAAGTTTTTACCAAGAATGATACGGACTGGACATGAATTATGAACTTTTTCTTTCAGTGACCTTGAACTTGCCCAAATGACCTTGGGTCAAGGTCATGACACACCCTCAGGTCATAAGCAATCTTTGTGTATAATGGAAACTCACCAAGAATGATACGGACTGGACATGAATTATGAACTTTTTCTGTCAGTGACCTTGAACTTGCCCAAATGACCTTGACACACCCTCAGGTCATAAACAATCTTTGTGTTAAATGGGAACTCACCAAGTTTATCCATAAGAAAGATATGGACCGGACACGAATTATGAACTTTTTCTTTCAGTGAACATGAACTTGCCCAAATGACCTTGGGTCAAGGTCATGATACACCCTTAGGTCATGAACATTCTTTGTGTGAAGTAGTAGATTCTAATGTTCCTCTGTAAGAAAGATATGGACCTTACATGTTGCACAGACAGACAGACGGACAAGGTGATTCCTATATACCCCCCAAACTTCATTTGTGGGGGGGGGGGGGGTATAATAAGGAATCTACAGTTCTAGTAGTTAAATAGATGCATTTTCCATTGAGATTAATACAGAGAAACAGTAAATTCATATTTATTAAATCTAATTCTTCACAAAACAGTGTATAAAACTAAACATCAGCTTAAGTATACTCTAGTACAAAAATTTACTGTTCATCTGCCAAGATGCTGAATTTTAAATCTGTTTTCATCAATGTTCATACAAAGACTTTCATCCAATGTAAAGGTTTGTACACCTGGCACTTTGTACATGAACAGCAATGCAGTACATAGTGGATTAGACTTATGACAACAGAACAGACATTTCCATCAATATATATATATGTCTCTACCCTCTACCATCAACATGAAAGTAAACACATCAGACAGTACAAAACATTTTGTTCATTAAGTATAAAGCCACACAATTGGAATGCTTCTGTGATTCTATTTATAATAGATATCTGAGGTTGTTCACTTTGCACACTTCTCTATAAAGTTTGCTAAGGTTACATCCCTGTGAGACAGGCCTCCATAGTCATGAGTACTCAGTGTTATCTGAACCTGTAAGTAAAGAAAGTACATGAAAAGTACAATAAAACATGTGTAAAAGAGGTAATGTGATCTCAAAGTGTGAATGCATGAGCTCATAACTGCTTCAGAATGAGAAGACACTATTGATTGATACACATTTCGAGATTAATTTTGCTGCATCAAATTTGGCAAAAGAAAAAAAAGGCCCATGGGCCACATCACTCACCTGAGCACACTGGCTGGGAAAATACAGAAATCAGTTCAGTATTAAAAAGTTTGCAAGAAGGGAGGGGACAAACTTCAATTTTCACTACCTCAGGATGCCTCCATATCAGTATTACTAATCACAGCTTTGCTTTCTTGAGCAGAAGAATTTTAAAGATTTTCTCCTTTGAATTCCTATGTAAAACTGATCGCTCATTGTGACCACACCCTACCCACTCTAATAGGGGGGCAAGGATACACCAACCTCACGATACGATACGTATCACGGTATTCACTTCAGGATACGATACGTATCACGATACATGACAAGGTTAAGAAGTCTTTCAAGTTCATGTTATTTTTTTTAAACTTGACAGGGTTATATCAAATGGTCATATTTCTTTATAATAATTAAAATATCATTTTGTTAACTTGAATTTGATTGATAGGTAGATTTTTGAGTTGTGACAATATTCTAAACCAATGACGAACATTTACAGGGAACTACAGGGACCTTTCCTAATAATCTTCCTTTGAAATTGGAATGAAAAAGGAATACATTCATTCTTTTATTCCTTTTATTTATGTCGAAATTCAGTTGTCATTTCTCGTGTTAACACGTTTTAGTCAACAAGACAGCGAATTTTCATCGAAATACACGCGTGATGAGATATCGTGTTTTACCATAAAATACGTTCAGATCTAAAGGGTTTATCACTTGTCTTAACATCTTTAACTTTCAATCACATTAGGAATGAGACAAAGCCATGTTTTGCGCAGAATCCATTTTTAAATTGTACACAAGGAAACAAAACATGCTTCTATAGTAATATGACTAATCAGGGCTTTGCTGTTCTTGAGCTGAAAATTCTTTTCAAGATGACACCTATATATTCTTATGTAAAACTTTGACCCTCTGTTGTGCCCCTCAACCCATTGGGGGTCATAATTTGAACAAACTTCATTCTACAATACCTAAGGTTGCTTCTGTATAAATATGACTAAAAATGGCTTCGTTGTTCTTGAGAAGAAGATTGTTAAAGATATTTTCTATATATTCCTATGGAAAACTCTGACCCACTGTTGTGGCCCCACCCTACCCTACCCCAGGGTTATGATTTGAACAAACCTGATTCTACACTACCTGAGGATACTTCTGAATTAATATGACTAATAATGGCTAAACTGTTCTTGAGGAGGAGATTTTTAATGATCTTTCTTGTATATTCTTAAGGTAAACTTTGACCCTCTGTTGTCACTAACCTTCACCCCCAGGGGTCATGATTGGAATAAACTTGAATCTACACTACCTGATGATACTTCTATATTCCTATGTAAAACTTTGACCCCTCTTGTGGCCCCTCCTTACCCCCAGGGGTTATGATAAGAACAAACTTGAATCAAGAATATGCAATGAAGCTTTATAATAAGTTTCATCTTTTCCTGCCCAGTGGTTCTTGAGAAGATTTTTTGAAGATGCCATCAAATTTTCATGATTTTTTTATTATCTCCCTTTGAAAGAGGGCATGGCACTTCCTGTGAACAAACTTAAATCCCCTTCACCCACGAATGCTTTGTGGCAAGTTTGATTGCAATTGGCCCAGTGGTTCTTGAGAAGAAGTTGGAATTGTGAAAAGTTTACAATGACAACAATGTGATAATAGTAGGGATGTCAATTTTGTCAATAATTCATATTCGAATATTCAATGAAAGTATTCGAATATATTCGAATATTCGATATAATAAATTAAATCTGGATTATTTTTCATATACATCATCCTGCTCTCATGAAAGGTTAATTACCGTACGTATTCTTATATTGGAAGTAAAATTGTATGAAGACTTTTGTAGGTGTACAATAAGAAATTCCATTTGATATTTGTCAATGTTTGAAATAAATAATTGATTTAAATGTAGAAAAGTATCAATTTAACAAATGATACATGTGTATTTATAGTAGCTCCAATTGGGGAACCAGTCATCTTACCAAAGGCAAGATAGTCGTATACTGTTCAGAGTTCAATACGTGTAATTAATTACAATTATCAGTCTAATAAGAGATATGATGATAATCTTTGATACAATGTTTTTAAAATATAAACAAATATTTCCATAGACAATTTTCCTAGGTAATTAACTAATTTCCCAATAACGAATATAAAATTCAGGATTATGTACAACCCGAGATAATTAAGTAATTTACACATTTTTTCTGAAATTGAGCCCTTAACAATATTAATTACAGACTAATTCTATCGGACATTCATTCAATGATCAATTAAATTTATTTGATAAGTATACCCTTCACGTCTTTTAGACATTTTAAAAAGGTTTTCTTTTGATGTCCTCGATTCTAGATCCGATCGTATTTATTTAATAAAAACGATGAAAGTACGTTTTGTATTATAAATAAAGCATTATTGTATAATTCTTTAACACCGTACTCAAAACAAAATAATTTTGTAGATACATAAGATAAGAAAGTAGTGAAAGAAATCAGGCGATCGAAATTGATCGCTAGTTAATTCCAGCACTGTTCTAATAAAAATTTATTAACCACAGTACTTCTTTTTATGAAATCTGAAAAACATCGAATATTCGAATCTTAAATTCATATTCGAATATCAATTCATCGAATGAATATTCGAATGTTCGAATATTCGTTGACATCCCTAGATAATAGACAATGTACAAATTTTGATCAGAAAAGCTTCCTTGAGCCTTCGGCTCAGATGAGCTAAAAAACATACTTTACATTTTAAAACATAAATAGAAGAAATAAACCTCTACATGTTTATAGGTTTTTTTGGGGTTATATATACACTGGCCACAAATATATGTTAAAAGCATGCATAAATTGTTGCCGACTACCACCTGTGTACAAATGTATATATATTTTCTGAAATACCCAAACTAGACATTTATATTTTAAGCATATACATTTAATTAAACATACCTTGTTATAAACATTAAACCACTCTGGGTGATGGTCCATCTTGTCTGCCTGTATTGCTATTCTTGTCATAAATCCAAAGGCCTGCATTCAAAATCAATAAACTGAACATGGAGTGCATAAAAATAGAATAACTTAACCATTCTCATTCAAGTTTTAAACATTAAAAACTAATATTTTTAAATATTTATATTTGCAAATGTTTTTGCTTATATAACACTACATGTATATGAACAAGGCATATCAAACAGGTTCGTCACATGACCATTAATTCTGACATAGCTAAATCATAAAAGATCGATATAATTTCACAGTAACATCATAAGTGATCAGCATGTTCAAGTTCAACACATTCAATTTATACCATTGAGGTTTTGAAAAATACATGTAAATCATTTTATGGGTTTGAAACTATAGTACGCAATTTTTTGTTATAAATGAGTCATAAATGTAAGTATAAGTAATAATTAAGATATCATTTTTAAACATTTATCAAGAAATAAACATGGGTTGGCATATATATAATCAAATCCATCATAAAGCCCTTAAGGCTTTACGAAATTTGATCACACGACCAACCCTTATTTAAATCACAATAAAAGTTTTAAAATGATACCTTATTTCTTAAATAAACAAAGAATGTAATTATACCTCATTAAAATCTTTGAACAGGAACTCCTTATAGATTGCATCACGACCTTCCACCATTGTCCACCCCGCTTTCTTCAGTGGAGATAAGACATCCTCTCTCTCATCAGACTCCAGTTTTGTTCTCTTAGGGGTTGATGCCTACAATTGATATCAAGAGTTGTTTGTGAAAGTACTGATTAATGAGACAGATGGGAATTGAATCTTTATGCAGTTGAAAAGATGGTATTTGAATCTAACTCTTAAGTTGATCAATAAGATGTGAAAGGGTGACTCTCAGGGCTAACAAGCAAAGGGGGTTATTAAGGGCTAAATCAGATGAAATATGTGGAGCAAACACGGACCTCTAAGACATCAGAGGTGGGATCAGGTGCCATGGAGGAGTAAGCATTCCCTGCTGACCAGTCACACCTGCCATGTGCTCCTTGTCATGATCAGGGAATAATGGAAAAATCCGTCGATATCCGTCAATAACTCTGTACTCAATAGTTTAATATATGGTGGATTTTGGGGACAGTTATAAGTAGGCAGGTGGGGGTGAGGTGAATGAAGTGGGTACAGGATCTGTTTACATGTATACTATCACTGTAGGTCCAATAAAAGAGTTCATAACGTCCTAAGGCACATAGTTTGGTTCTTGGGTCAGACAAAATGCATGTTGTCCTCAACGGTCAAAAAAATGTATACAGTTTACCAGGAATTTTTATTGTTACATTTGAACTAATTAGCCACAGATTTTAAAAATGTATTAGTCTGAGATTAATGGACTAACATTAATGATGAACCCTGATTTTCCGTCCTTAAGGTCAAGATCTAGCAAATGAAAGGTGCCTACAGATTTCTCAAATTTGGGAAATAAATTCCTTTAATGGTGCTTTATAACTTTAGCTTGGTCAAATAAGGTGTTTCCGGGCATAATTTGTAGATGAACAAGACGAAAAATCATATTTTAAACTGTCATTTTCAATGAAAAATTAAGAAAAACAGTCATGAATACGAGAGTTTTTTTCCATATCAGACAAAGAAATGCATCCAGATTGCCTACAGTCTCTCAGAAAACGATAATTTGTATGTTCTTGGCCTCTTCGTTAAAATAATATCAAATTGAATATAGGTATCGGGATTACTTTTCGCATGATTTCAAATTGAATTCCATGAAAATACTTTATTTTCTACAAAATTCTACCAGAGCCGTAAGCTGCGGGAAAAAGAAGTCAAAATTGATTATGACGTCATTATGGATCTAGCACCAAAAAGTTAGTCTAAAGTCATTTACTAGATCTTGACCTTAAGCAGTTTAAGTCCCTGAATTTAGCAACTTGCAGCCCCATTTTCGATAACAAAAGTAACAATGTTCAGTTTTTGCCAATTCCTCCCAATTTACAGAGATGTTTGCAAGCACAATCTCATTAATTGAATATTTCCGTGTGTGATTTAATTGTCTCAAATAGAAACTTATTAAAATGAGAAAGATAGTCAAAGTCATCTTCCCAAGTCAAGGGTTTCTGATCCAGTCCGCTCCACATCAACCCTTGACCAAATGGACTGAAATTAATGGTTCACTATCGTGCCATCTAGTGAGATAGCAAATTTTGAATCCTACTGACTTCTGCAATTGACCAATCAGAGTAGTAATAAAACAGAGACAGCAAAACAATACGGAAAGTCGATTATAAATTCAGCTTTAACTTTAACTCCAATGCTAAGACAAGCATTTAACTGGGGTATTTAATGGTAAAGACATTTTTGTTAGAACTAAAACTGGCATGTTTTTATGCCCCCGCCATAAAATGGCCAGGGCATATAGTATTACCCTGTTCCATCATTCTTTTTGACTGCATTATGGTTTTGGACCTTTTGACTCTAACCTTAATGTTTAACCTACAGTACTTTTCAAAATCTTTAACATTGGTAATAACCTTTAAAAGAGAGAAGATAGCTAGGACTTTTATATTTTACATGTACATTACCTGTGACAACACATTCAGAAAAAATTATCATTTTTGACTCGAAGTCCATGACTTAAAGGTTAAGCTCTTACTCTTAGAGCTGTGAGCCACTACACCATGCACCTTTCACAGTATCTTTTCAATAAACTGAATTCACACTGAATTTATACATTAAATACCATAATCCATTATTGTCTTACAAATTTATACCTAGGCATTAATTAGTAAAATTGTACAATGCCAAATTCTTACATGTAGAAAATAAATGCAGCATAATTACTTGTCTCATAATGATAATAAACCTGGGCAATTGAATATTCATATTAAAATAAAATTAAAAAAAAAGGAACCCTTCTGGCCATTACCCAGTTAGATATACCTGTGTCTTGGGACCAGTCTAGACAAACCCCAAAAATGGCATGAACTCCGAAAACGAAGTCTTTGGCTCCATCATGCATTGTGGCAAAATGGCGTCCGATGTAAACAAACGATGGATTGTTGTTCACTTTCTCCAAATATACGGCTGCATAATGGTTGCATTTAGTGCATTGTGACTTTATTTTAATTTCTGTTGAATGAATAATTACATTTATTAAATTATGTTGTGGATATTGACTTATTTATCGCTTCAAACTCTTGCATAATAGTAAATTGGATATACGACATCGAGTCAATACTGCCGGTAAGAATTATTTTCTAATTTGATTTATTGTCTCCTTGATTTAAATTTTATGTCATTCCTAAAACAAAGGTGCTTTTATTTGTTTTTGAAGACACCCAGCTTGTATTTATTTTAATCAGAAAATGCGTATTTTTCAAGTCGGAGCAGAGGTATTCACAGGTTCATTTTTAGAAGACATGTTGTGACCTTAATTTCGAGAAGAGTCGTTTTTAAAGTTTTCATATGGATAGATTATAGTTTTATAAATGTTTTCATAATAATATCTGTTCGTATGTGATAAAAAATCAGTAAATAACGACAGTAAGAACTTATGTGTTCAATTCAGATGTCGTACATAAATTAAAAAAAAACGGAATGCTAATTTATATATAAAATTCAGTTAAGTTTTTAACAGTTACAATATATATTGTCCTATTTTGCATACATATCCCTTTTATTGTGCATATTTACTTCTCAAACATATCATTTTCTCTGTAATTGATCTGACTACAAACGTCAACTTTGAAAGTAGGCCTAAATATCTCCTTTTTTGCAAATAAATCAAAAATCTGACAAATACGATATTTTCCTTAGTCTTTTATTTAGCATTTCTGAGTACTATCATAATTGCCATACTTTCCAAAACTTTGCAAGCACAGTTTTTGTTGACCCATCATTTTTGCCGAAAAATCGCCTTTTTCTGTGTGTGTGTGCGCATGCGCGGACTCTTTTTTCGGAGTCTTTTTAAGTCTCAATTTCTTACTTCCGGAAACACTGTTTTTGGAGTTCGTCTAGACTGGGGACAGGCCCTCGATCACCATAATTATGTCGGCTGTAGCATAAAATTATGATTAGATTATCACATTTTTGAGGAAATTCAGATTGACAAGTAGTTTCATGTGCTCAGTACTTATTTCAAGATACATATTTAAGTAACTTGCCATCTTTTTACTGAACGGTCGATTGAAAGATAGAAACAATGCACTTCTCTCCTTGCATAAATGTCCTGCACTGGCCAAAGCTTGTCGACAAATCAATTGCAGCATGAATAGACCTTTATTTGTTTTCAAGAATAAGAGAGCTCTAATTAAGGTAAATAACTCTTAGTGCTTTCTTTAAATAAAAAAAAGATTAATATTTAATATGAATAAATTATTTTCTTTTTTAATTTACTCTGGACAGCTTGTATTCAAGTTATCTATTTGAACATAAATCTGTTAGCTTATTGCTTAATTCTGAAATAAGTTTGTGTTTTTTAATCTGTTTAATATTATATCCTAGCTTAACTAAAAAAAGAAAATAAATAATCTGTTTTATGATATTAAAAAATCATTTTGAAATATTAAGAAAATCAGCTGGATTTTTTTTTCAACAAAGAAGTCTAAAACTAACCCCCCCCAACCCCCCCCCCCCCCAACCCCCACCGATGTCCTAAATGCAAGTAATTTGTTGTGAAATTGATTTTTGAAGGGAACTTTACAAACTTTTACTTTAGTCAGTCAAACATCTTAATACACCTCTGGACAAAATTTGAAAATAACTGGACAGACCAGGAATTCCTCATATTTGATTATTTTATCATTATTCAACTTAAAAAAAATATCTAAAACTGCAGCATGCAACAGGCTGCTGACAATTAAATTAAAATGATATTTTTTTTTGTCTTTTTAATCATTTTATAAGCTAGTGGCTGCTCTCTCTAAAGGAATTGATGAATGCATCATTGGAATTTTGAAATTAATTGAAGACATCATCACCATTAGCCAAGCCTGGTTTAATTGTCATCAGCATAACTCCTCAATTTCTTTAAGCAAATATTGAAGAGAAAAATAATAGAATATATATCGTGTGCTTTGATTGCTTTGATTGCATTATTGCTTTCTATAATTAATTATAATTTATTAATTTTGTTGTTGAATTTGTTGATTCATTGGAAGATTTTAAGCAACAAATTCAATCATTGTGTAATTGTAATTTGTAAATTTTAATTAATTCAGAATTAAAAATTATCTTGAATACCTGAAGATATCTCTCTAATTGAATTGTTGTGTAATGCATCAAATAATTTGATATCTTAAATTCAAAGGACTAATTTGAAAAAAAGATATCTGTATCTTAATTCAATTAACTGGCTACAATAAAAAGGAGGGGAAATTAAAAGAAGGAAAAAACCTCAATTTCATTTACCAGTACTGCACAAAGTAAAGATTTACAGTATATGTCAGTGTCAAGTTAATGATAACTATAGATTTCCCAAAGTCATTGCAAAATACTCTCTCAGATCGCTGCAATACAGAAAAAGAAAACCCCTGGGTTTATGTTAATTACTGTTTATTTGTTATCACATCATGAACGTAAAGAATTATAGCAGTTATGTTTTATATTTGATAAGTATATAAAGTTCCAATAACATTTCACTACAAAACTCTCTAAGATGGCTGCAATGAAAAAAGTACTCAGATTTAAATGCTATTCAATATTGTTTATTTGTTGTCATAATTTGTGAAGATTTACATGAATATTGAATTTACATGTTATAACATGTACATGTACTTTGAAAAGAATATTTGAAAATAATGACTTCTGTTATACACATAACTCTGAAAAGATTTTAGGAAGCAAATGTCACTTTTTATAAGTAGTACATTATACATTGTATATGAATTGAAATGTCAAAACAAATAGACATAACACACACATATAATGAATTAAGATTTCCAGTCTCTTCACTACACTTGATGCCTACATATACGATTATTAAAAACCCTTAAATTGCATTACAGAGCACCATGCAGGTTTAGGCCAGGTTTATTTTCCAAAGAAATTAACATGCAAACAAAGCAGTTTTCATACAACATTACATATTCATAACAAAATGCACATTAAAATGCATCCAAAAATAAAATAAGCCTCCTCTGCCGCCCAGGAAAAACCATATATTAAAAACAAAATCTTTCAAAATTTGTAAAAAATGATGGAAACCTGTGAACCGCGGCAAAATGCAGAGTAAGCAAAAATTTGAGTGGCGGCACCTCACTCTCTTTAATTATTAAACAATATTTTCATGAATTATGGATTTTGCAATAAAGACATATATTTGTATTGATAAAAACTGGACTTTCTCAGGATAGTGTGCACTAGAAAGTGACCATTTGATAATACCCCTTTAATTATTGAATGTTTGCCCATGCAATATATTCTGAAAATTTTTTGGCTGTAGCCTAATTAACTAAAACTTAGTAACAAGACATTTCCGTAACATTGTTTACATGTTGTTAGGGCAATTAATTTTTGCTAATACTACATAACACAAAAAATTGTTATACTGCACTCATCATAAACTTTCCAAATAGCATTAAACTTCAAAGGCTAGAGTATAATCACTGATATTAAAAACTTCCCAGGGAAAACATGGATAAAAAGTCACACATGTGTCCAAGGCAAAAAATTTATGCAAGTCTAAGGGTGAATGCAAGACATCACATTCATCTGATGGAACCAAAAACTGGTCAATACTTCAACTGGTGTTACAAGGAAATTAACTGCTGGGGTGATAATAGCACATAAGTTTTTTGGTTCAAAACATCAACAAAAGAAAGGAAGGAACTAAGACCGGAAAATGCAATATCCTTCTCACAAGGTCACAGTTCCTTCAAACAAGATCTTCACACAAGAACACAGATCCTTCACATAACACCACAGATCCTTCAAACATGGTCACATATCCTTCACATAAGGCCACAGATCTTTCACACAAGGTCACAGATCCTTCACACAAGGTCACAGATCCTTCACATGTCACAGATCCTTCACACAAGATCAAAGATCCTTCACTTAAGGTCACAGATCCTTCATGTAAAAACACAGACCCTTCACATAAGGTCACAGATCTTTCACACAAGGTCACAGATCCTTCAAACAAGGCTACATATTCTTAACACAAGGCAACAGAACCTATTCATAAGGTAACAGATATACTTCACAAAAGGTCAAGGTCCTTCACAAGGTCACAGATCCTTCATACAAGGTCACCAATTTTTTCACACTATATGTAGGTAACAGATCCTTCACATAAGGTCACAGATCCATAATACAAGGTCACAAATCCTTCACACTAATTCAAAATAGAGTTCTATATCTCCTTCAACAATAAACGTCTCTCCTTTCATTTCTAATGATTCATAACATGAATTTATTTTGATGTGTTGCCCAACTTTCTTCCTTCCACATCTATCAAGATAGCTCAGATGATTCATAGGATGTGTTCTATCAAATTAAAAAAATGTCAGCTTAACAAATGAAAAGTCAAAAAGTGATATTGTATAGACTTCAGTACCTATGAAAATAAAAACAAGTAAGCTATTGAGTTTCAATAATATAAAATCAACCAACACATTTCAGAAACAATGCCAAATTTAGAGGCCCAAAGGCTTTTACAATCACCTGAATGTCACTGCAATTTTTTCTGAGCCAAAGTGTGTTCTTTTTTCTAAACTACTTTTTTTCCAACAAAACTGGAGTCAGCTCCATATAGATTTAAAGGGCAATGATTTACACAAATTTCAATTTTATCTACCTGAGGGCATTTTTGTAGTAATTTGACAATTTGAAGCCTAATATTTTGTGGAGAAAATTCCATGAAATTTCTATACGTTCTAGAGAAAAGATGAAATTGTAAAAAAAAAATTACAAAGAAAAGGATGATGACAATACTGACAACAACAGACAAATTTTGATCAGAAAAACTCGGCTCAGGTGAGCTAAAAATGTCAGACAGTGCAAGATGTGCCATTGTGTCTTACCATCATGTCTTGGATTGGCCACAGTCAATCCCTGAACTTTTGCTGGTAGGTAAGTGTCTGCTCTTCTTGTGAGAATGAAAACCAGTCCAACCCTGTATGTATGAACAAAGAACATCTATAGGTCTGTGGAAAAATGATTTTCTTAACACTTGGAGAGCCATTAGTCTTCAGAGAGCCAGAAGCACATCAACATATAAAATATTTTACCATCAATTCTTGGATTGGCTGCACTTGATCCCTCAATCATTTTGCACACTTTCTGTCAGATGAAAGTCACCAACTTTCTCGAGATCTACACTAGCACTACACTAGATCTAACCCTGACCTATTAATAAAAAATATCAAATAGTAAAAGAATTGCTTACACTTGTAAAGTGGAAAAATGATGAAAATCAACAGAATACTGGATTGGCACATTGCATCTTACCATCATTCCTAGGGTTTACAGCAGTCTATCCCAAAACTATCAACACTCTTGCTTTAAGGTGAGATTCTTCTCTTAAGGATTCTGGACAGAGGTTTGTCTTAAACTGCTCAATAAAAAGACAATTAAAAACATACTTCTCAATAAGGGATCTAGGTCAGCCAAGGTTCCTTCTGCTAGCAAAGAAATTTAACCAAGGGTCAAATGATTCATGAATACTGCAAACAAAGGGTCAAAGGAATACTATAATAAACAATTGGCTGTATAGCTCATTACGATTTACAATTTTGTCTCAAAAGCAGAACCCCATTAATTTTCTATGACAATACAACTATTCTGATATTAATCTCACCCTTTCTTCTATTATTTCCCACATTAAATTCCCTGCTCCTAACCAACCTGCAGCTTATGATGTTGGTCCTCTTCTGCTTCTCGGGATAGGTCTTTCTCTTCAGATCCTCAGGATGGGTCCTTTACACCTGCTCCTCGGGTTGGGTCCTTCTCCTATGCTCTTTGACATGGGTCCTCTCTTGCAGTCCTTGGAATGGATCATTCTCTACTGCTCATGCGGATTAGTCCATCTCTTCTGCTCCTTAGGATGGGCCCTCCTTTTCTGTTCCTTAGGATGGGTCCTTCTCTTCTGAATCCTGTCAGAGGAAGTCAAGAGGTCAAGGCCAAACCAGGTCAACATCAATTGACAAGTAAAAGATGGGGAAAGTTTGCAGCGAGCAGATCTCAAATCTTACCGCATCTTCCAACGATGACTGCAGTTGATTGGGAGGCAACATTCGTCCACACCAGGGGCTCCAGATCATCCTAACCGCCTACTGCTAAAATAAAACAAAATTCAAGATGTCAAATGAATTTTTCAAACTTGATATTAACTGAACAATAGCCCAAGAAATCCATACAAGATAGACTTCATTACACGAATCTTACCTTTTCTTCTCTCCTTTTCTGCAATTAATTCCCCACCCTGCTCCCCACCCTCTTCCTGACAAACAAGGAACTTGTTCCTAACATTGGGATCCAGGCATCCTCCTATTAACACAGAGAGTCAGGATGTTAAAGAAATGTCCTAAATATTTTGATCAACTTAGAATAAAAACAACAGGGAATCAAAATTGCAACAAATGCAGTATGTTCTTACCACACTGGCCAATGTTGGTTTCTATTCATAGCTGGGCAATGCAGTCCTCTTCTTCTTTAGGCCGGCCAAAGTCCTCTTCTGTCGTCGTCCCTCATCTGAACCCCTGAAAATACACAACTGACAAAAGATTAGTAAAAAATCAAAACAATTACAGAAAGTAAAAAGAAATTCACAAAACAATTGCAACAATTCGAACAAATTATAAGCAAAAATTACAAAATTATTTGAAAAATAAGTTAGCAAAAGGGGACTGTTACTTTGGGAAAGGGCATAGGAGAGGTGAGAGTAGAGGAAGGGAAAGGGAGATGGTTAATAATGTTAGAGTAAGTAGGGGACAGAAAGAGAGACAGAGGGATAAATCAAAAAGCTTCTCTATCAGGCTCTCTGGCTGGGTCCTCTTCTGCTCCTTGGGATGGGTCCCTCTCTTCTGCATCCTGTCAATGGAAGTCAAGAAGTCAAGGCCAAACCAGGTCAACATCAATTGACAAGTAAAAGATGGGGAAAGTTTGCAGCGAGCAGATCTCAAATCTTACCGCATCTTCCAATGATGACTGCAGTTGATTGGGAGGCAACATTCGTCCACACCAGGGGCTCCAGATCATCCTAACCGCCTACTGCTAAAATAAAACAAAATTCAAGATGTCAAATGAATTTTTCAAACTTGATATTAACTGAACAATAGCCCAAGAAATCCACACAAGATAGACTTCATTACACGAATCTTACCTTTTCTTCTCTCCTATTCTGCAATTAATTCCCCACCCTGCTCCCCACCCTCTTCCTGACAAACAAGGAACTTGTTCCTAACATTGGGATCCAGGCATCTTCCTATTAATACAGAGAGTCAGGATGTTAAAGAAATGTCCTAAATATTTTGATCAACTTAGAATAAAAACAACAGGGAATCAAAATTGCAACAAATGCAGTATGTTCTTACCACACTGGCCAATGTTGGTTTCTATTCATAGCTGGGCAATGCAGTCCTCTTCTTCTTTAGGCCGGCCAAAGTCCTCTTCTGTCGTCGTCCCTCATCTGAACCCCTGAAAATACACAACTGACAAAAGATTAGTAAAAAATCAAAACAATTACAGAAAGTAAAAAGAAATTCACAAAACAATTGCAACAATTCGAAAAAATTATAAGCAAAAATTACAAAATTATTTGAAAAATAAGTTAGCAAAAGGGGACTGTTATTTTGGGAAAGGGCATAGGAGAGGTGAGAGTAGAGGAAGGGAAAGGGAGATGGTTAATAATGTTAGAGTAAGGAGGGGACAGAAAGAGAGACAGAGGGATAAATCAAAAAGCTTCTCTATCAGGCTCTCTGGCTGGGTCCTCTTCTGCTCCTTGGGATGGGTCCCTCTCTTCTGCATCCTGTCAATGGAAGTCAAGAAGTCAAGGCCAAACCAGGTCAACATCAATTGACAAGTAAAAGATGGGGAAAGTTTGCAGCGAGCAGATCTCAAATCTTACCGCATCTTCCAACGATGACTGCAGTTGATTGGGAGGCAACATTCGTCCACACCAGGGGCTCCAGATCATCCTAACCGCCTACTGCTAAAATAAAACAAAATTCAAGATGTCAAATGAATTTTTTAAGACCTGATATTAACTGAACAATAGCCCAAGAAATCCACACAAGATAGACTTCATTACACGAATCTTACCTTTTCTTCTCTCCTATTCTGCAATTAATTCCCCACCCTGCTCCCCACCCTCTTCCTGACAAACAAGGAACTTGTTCCTAACATTGGGATCCAGGCATCCTCCTATTAATACAGAGAGTCAGGATGTTAAAGAAATGTCCTAAATATTTTGATCAACTTAGAATAAAAACAACAGGGAATCAAAATTGCAACAAATGCAGTATGTTCTTACCACACTGGCCAATGTTGGTTTCTATTCATAGCTGGGCAATGCAGTCCTCTTCTTCTTTAGGCCGGCCAAAGTCCTCTTCTGTCGTCGTCCCTCATCTGAACCCCTGAAAATACACAACTGACAAAAGATTAGTAAAAAATCAAAACAATTACAGAAAGTAAAAAGAAATTCACAAAACAATTGCAACAATTCGAAAAAATTATAAGCAAAAATTACAAAATTATTTGAAAAATAAGTTAGCAAAAGGGGACTGTTATTTTGGGAAAGGGCATAGGAGAGGTGAGAGTAGAGGAAGGGAAAGGGAGATGGTTAATAATGTTAGAGTAAGGAGGGGACAGAAAGAGAGACAGAGGGATAAATCAAAAAGCTTCTCTATCAGGCTCTCTGGCTGGGTCCTCTTCTGCTCCTTGGGATGGGTCCCTCTCTTCTGCATCCTGTCAATGGAAGTCAAGAAGTCAAGGCCAAACCAGGTCAACATCAATTGACAAGTAAAAGATGGGGAAAGTTTGCAGCGAGCAGATCTCAAATCTTACCGCATCTTCCAACGATGACTGCAGTTGATTGGGAGGCAACATTCGTCCACACCAGGGGCTCCAGATCATCCTAACCGCCTACTGCTAAAATAAAACAAAATTCAAGATGTCAAATGAATTTTTTAAGACCTGATATTAACTGAACAATAGCCAAAGAAATCCACACAAGATAGACTTCATTACACGAATCTTACCTTTTCTTCTCTCCTATTCTGCAATTAATTCCCCACCCTGCTCCCCACCCTCTTCCTGACAAACAAGGAACTTGTTCCTAACATTGGGATCCAGGCATCCTCCTATTAACACAGAGAGTCAGGATGTTAAAGAAATGTCCTAAATATTTTGATCAACTTAGAATAAAAACAACAGGGAATCAAAATTGCAACAAATGCAGTATGTTCTTACCACACTGGCCAATGTTGGTTTCTATTCATAGCTGGGCAATGCAGTCCTCTTCTTCTTTAGGCCGGCCAAAGTCCTCTTCTGTCGTCGTCCCTCATCTGAACCCCTGAAAATACACAACTGACAAAAGATTAGTAAAAAATCAAAACAATTACAGAAAGTAAAAAGAAATTCACAAAACAATTGCAACAATTCAAAAAATTATAAGCAAAAATTACAAAATTATTTGAAAAATAAGTTAGCAAAAGGGGACTGTTATTTTGGGAAAGGGCATAGGAGAGGTGAGAGTAGAGGAAGGGAAAGGGAGATGGTTAATAATGTTAGAGTAAGTAGGGGACAGAAAGAGAGACAGAGGGATAAATCAAAAAGCTTCTCTATCAGGCTCTCTGGCTGGGTCCTCTTCTGCTCCTTGGGATGGGTCCCTCTCTTCTGCATCCTGTCAATGGAAGTCAAGAAGTCAAGGCCAAACCAGGTCAACATCAATTGACAAGTAAAAGATGGGGAAAGTTTGCAGCGAGCAGATCTCAAATCTTACCGCATCTTCCAACGATGACTGCAGTTGATTGGGAGGCAACATTCGTCCACACCAGGGGCTCCAGATCATCCTAACCGCCTACTGCTAAAATAAAACAAAATTCAAGATGTCAAATGAATTTTTTAAGACCTGATATTAACTGAACAATAGCCCAAGAAATCCACACAAGATAGACTTCATTACACGAATCTTACCTTTTCTTCTCTCCTTTTCTGCAATTAATTCCCCACCCTGCTCCCCACCCTCTTCCTGACAAACAAGGAACTTGTTCCTAACATTGGGATCCAGGCATCTTCCTATTAATACAGAGAGTCAGGATGTTAAAGAAATGTCCTAAATATTTTGATCAACTTAGAATAAAAACAACAGGGAATCAAAATTGCAACAAATGCAGTATGTTCTTACCACACTGGCCAATGTTGGTTTCTATTCATAGCTGGGCAATGCAGTCCTCTTCTTCTTTAGGCCGGCCAAAGTCCTCTTCTGTCGTCGTCCCTCATCTGAACCCCTGAAAATACACAACTGACAAAAGATTAGTAAAAAATCAAAACAATTACAGAAAGTAAAAAGAAATTCACAAAACAATTGCAACAATTCGAAAAAATTATAAGCAAAAATTACAAAATTATTTGAAAAATAAGTTAGCAAAAGGGGACTGTTATTTTGGGAAAGGGCATAGGAGAGGTGAGAGTAGAGGAAGGGAAAGGGAGATGGTTAATAATGTTAGAGTAAGGAGGGGACAGAAAGAGAGACAGAGGGATAAATCAAAAAGCTTCTCTATCAGGCTCTCTGGCTGGGTCCTCTTCTGCTCCTTGGGATGGGTCCCTCTCTTCTGCATCCTGTCAATGGAAGTCAAGAAGTCAAGGCCAAACCAGGTCAACATCAATTGACAAGTAAAAGATGGGGAAAGTTTGCAGCGAGCAGATCTCAAATCTTACCGCATCTTCCAACGATGACTGCAGTTGATTGGGAGGCAACATTCGTCCACACCAGGGGCTCCAGATCATCCTAACCGCCTACTGCTAAAATAAAACAAAATTCAAGATGTCAAATGAATTTTTTAAGACCTGATATTAACTGAACAATAGCCCAAGAAATCCACACAAGATAGACTTCATTACACGAATCTTACCT